TACCCTCTCCACCGTCCAGGCCTTCCGCACAGCCCTTAAGAACTGGCTAGCCCGTCAGGCCTGGGGACAAGGATAGCCGCCCCTCCCGAATGATGAATGTATGTTGCTTACTATTTTATTATATGTCTCTATGTCAATGTCTGTATTCCCCCTCCCTGATTTTATGTGAGCCGCCCTGAGTCCCCTCAGGGAAAAGGGCGGCCTACAAATATTAATAAAATCTAAAATCTAAATCTAGAATAGGTTCCTAAATTGGTTTACATGCTGGAGAAGAATGTGTGCGTTACTAAGTATATTTAGGTAGACCACTTATTAATGTGTGTAACGGTTAACCTATTTCTGATTAGATTATATTTAAAGGAATAGGAGAAAGGATTCCCTATCTAGTTTAGATGTAAATTTCATACATAGGATATGTAACAAACTAACATTTTTGAAAGGTTGGAGTTAAACACCTCCACACTGACAACCTCTGTATGCATGAACATGTGTTTTATAATACATAATATGGCATTAAACTTTCAGCACTACTAGAAGTCTCCTTCAGTTCTTGCTGTAATGCTATACTCTAGGATGATGGGCATCTCCATACACTGGGCTTCCTTTTCTTCTTGCAGGAATGTCATTATCAGATTTCATAACATCATTGGTGAATGTCAGATGTGTCCTAAAGATAGAAGACTGGCAGAGGAAGTCATTCAAAAAACATAATGACAAACTCACCAAGTTTCCAACACAAAAATTCAAAAGCAGTTTAACTTGGGAAATTCTAGACATTTTAGACCAGTAAACTGTAAGAAAATTCCCAGAGATTGGCACTCTAATAAATCATTAACAGACCCATTGAAATAAGCTCCATCTATAATAAATAAAAATAGAGCAACCCAAAATCAAATAAATAAGCTCTCAGCATATCTTTCCTCATCACACCTTTATTAACCAACCCCTAGATAAACAGGAAAAGGAAAAAAGAATATTCCACTCCAAGGGCAATCAGAAGTAGCAATATCCCAGTCAAGGTCAGTAGGGCAAGCTATTACATATAAACAGTCTGCAAATTCCATTCCTCCATTCACTGATGCTGTGATTTAGTCTGGCAGTGAAATGTGTGTGAAAAGCTAAGCAAATGGAAAGAACACCAAGTACCTAAAAATTCATCCTGGACTAAATATATTCTCCACAAATAACATCCATATGTTCCTTAATATAAGTTTGATGATGCCTACCAACCATTCTTTCAAGGACATCCCCTCATAACCCAGCCCTTTCTCCCACCCTAATAAGTGAAGCCACCTAACCCTATTTCTGTTTGTTCCAAAGTTAAAATGATTGTTTCAACTTCTACCAATTCAAGCCTCGCTAACCAGTGGTGATGTAGCAGAAGAAGGAGAAACATGAAAGAAAGTACATGAAATACCAAGAGTGAACAGCTGCACAAGACAGAGAAATATGCAATAATCTGCTGAAAATCCTTAGGGTACATAGGAGCTAAAGCACCTGATCCATAGGATGAATTAGGACCTTACCATCCCACACCCCATCCCCCAAAGTAGCAAAAATCTACTTTGCTTAAGTTGACCCACAACACTTTTTATTGGCCTTATTACTTTGACAGATTAGATTTCACCTATTGGAACAAAGCAAAGTATGGCAATATACTTCTGCACCATTATGTGGATTACAGTAAAGCATGTTAAAGCAGCAGCTTGAATTTCCCCAGAATAATCTCTTTTGGGCTGCAAAACAAGTTTGTTTTCTGAGTCTTTCTGTTGCCATCTAATGATAAGAAGGTTGATTCAGTCTTTCATCTTTCCAAGGTAAGGTAAAATAAGGACCCAGATTGTAGTGAGCAATATGCTGTAAATTGCTTAGATAGGGCTGTAAAGCACTCTGAAGTGGTATATAAATCCAAGTGTTATTGATACATATAATGCTATATATTTGACAATTCAGACTTCTCATTCTAGTGATATGCCATCCTGAATCATATCCTGGTTGCCATGTGAAAAGAAGATACAAACTCAAGGTAGACCACTCCAAACTTGATTGCAGAAAATATGACTTTTGCAACAGAGTGGTCAATGCCTGGAATGCACTACCCGACTCTTTTGTTACATTCTCAAACCCCCATAACTTTAACCTGTCTAGTGGGGACCTCGCCCCTTTCCTAAGATGTCTGTAAGGGGGCGTGCATAAGCGCTCCAGCGTGCCTACCATACCTGTCCTATTGCCCCAATTTATTCGTACTCATTTCCTGTGTTCATGCCCATGTTTATACTTATACCTGTTATCTCATACATATTTGACTAAATAAATAAATATGGGGAAGTATATTTTAGACTAATGATAGCCAGTAGCATGCATCCTTCCCATGTAAAACATAGTTTTGTCCCACAGAAATCTATTAATGAGAAATTAAAACTGATTTGATCATATGACATATCTCTAAAAGGAGGGGAGAAGGATGCATAAATGTATATATTGTGGGGTTGTGTGGCTTAAACACTACAAATCTGTTCTTCTGTAGTAAAAAAAGAGATATTAACAACAGTGTCTGAAGCATTAGTTTCTGCTTGTTTCCTATTGGATAGGAAATCCTTGGTCCCCCCCCCCCCGCTTTATGGTTTTCTTACTTTTTAAATTGTAAGCTGCACAGAGCCATTTGCAATTGGGTAGCCTTTAATTTAATAAAATAAATAAATGCAATGGTGACGAGCAAGCCAGTATGATTAAGATCAACTTTGGGGTTGCCAATTATCCATGTTCATAATGCCACAAGCAACTTCCAGAAAATTGCCAATGTCCCTGGAACTCTACAGTCACAGGGCAAAACTGCTGAAATATAAAGAGTCATTCTCTCCGAGCAAGAGTCAATGATACATTATAAATGAATGCATAATGAAGCCTCATGATCATTGCAAATCAGAAATTGGAACCATAAATAAGATTTGAATCAGTCAGAATTACACACTTTCCCATGTCAACTATTAACTGGCTCGAACATCTGACCTGGTCCATACATAGTGTGCAGGCACAGGATGTTGAATGACTTTCAAACTTTATTTTACACACACGCATATTACATAGGAATGTACTGCACACATAGGAACTTGAATGCTGAACAAATGACAATAGCCATTTAGGGCAATTGCGAAGTGAGAAGCATGCATGGAAGAATTCAAAGTTCTTTGCTTATCTAATTTGAAGATATTCAATACTGTATGAATATAATCAAAAACATACTGAATAAAAGACATTTATTAAAAGGTTTTATATTATTAACACTTTATTATATGTTAAGTTTTTAATATTTCTGTAACTTTTATAAAAATGCAAATTGCATAGTAGAACTGCAAAAGACAAATAAAAAAAATACAGTATAACATCTTAAGCTCATCATTATTGAGTTAACTGATTTCTTGATAATGCAATTTTATGTAAGCTAAATCCCATTGTTCTTGCGGGTTTGCTCCAAGGAAAGCGCTTATGCTTACATCTTTAAAATATTTGCCTTCAGATTTTTTAGCTGATTTAACAATTTTCAAAATAGTCTTTATCTGGTCAATCCCTTTCCCATAGAAATATAAACTTTAGCATTACTTAAAAAAAATCAGAATAGGAAAGCATGATACTTAGAAAGATGCCTAGAAAAGTTGGCAGCATGAATTTTCTGTATTTTTAATGCAGTAAATATGTATATTTTTGTTTTTACTCATTAAAGTGTTATCTTAGTTGTCATTTGATTTTTTTTCTGTTAAGAAATTACTTTGCATGCTAATCTGAGAGAAAATATCAGAACACCTTGGCAACATGTATGGACTCCAATTCCCAAAATTTCCCAGCCAGCATGGAAGTTGAAGTCTACATAACTTGAAGTGGCCAAAGTTAAGAAGCTTTGTTGTACATGACTTTGCTTTTACTTTCAATGTTTTTCATACTGTTTGTTCCCACTAGGATTTTGGATCATTCAGATGAAGTAAGCAAGATTTTATTCAAGCATCCCTCTGTAGACTATTGATGAAAGTCATCTGTTAATGCTACGCCCTACAAGGAATTCTAACTTGGGTTATCTGGGAAGATTTGCTGGAAATGCAGTCCAGTTACCCAATACTGGCATCCTTCTGCATTAATTGTTCTTCTACTTCTCAACTGGTTGCCACACAAGCTGGCAGATTTGCTTTTTGGTAGGCCTGCTAGCACTCCAGAGCAATTTGTCATCAATATTACTCCAATGCCTTAAGCCCTTTTCTGCTCCTGCAGTAGTTATGGTTACTATAAGACTGCAAGGTACATAATTGTGGCCTTCTAAGTCACCATCCTTCTGCAAGCCAGTTCTGTTTCTCTTTGTACTTTTTCCCCCAAAAGCAGGTTCAGACACAGAAGCCCATTGAAAACCAATGCTTTCTGTGGCCTGCTTTCTTTCAAGACTGAAGACTTTGTGCCTTTGAAATTAGCACTCACAGTCAGAAAAAAACAATCTGAGCAAAATCAAGGCACAGATGGAAAATAATTGTCTGTGCAAAAGGAAGGGGGCGGAGGTGGAATCCATTAAGTAAGGTAAGGAGAAAAGGTCAGAAAAGGGCTTGAATACAGTTGCCACACATGCAACTTACAAAAGGCAGACATTGCTAGATTTTTTTATGAGTTCCTACCTTTTCTCCAGTAAAGATTTCTTATCAGAACCTATCTTTGTGAGTTTCAGTCCTACCAGTTGGGTGGTACCTGAAATTTAATCATTTTCTTAATCCTTCAGTCCTTCTGGTGACTGAAAAAACTTGCAGTCAGTAGAAGGTGGGGGAAAATATAATTCAGTCTATTCCCTCAGTAAAAGAGGATTTGCAAACTGATTCAGATATTATTTTCCTGCCTCTGCCCCCCACCCTTTTTTCCTTTCTTTTGCAAAAGGAAAAGACAAAACCTGGTCAACAGTCTTAGGAAACTGAAATAAGTGTTATTCTCAGTATATGTAATTCTGTAGTCTTAAATTGATTTCCCTTAAAAAGGTAACCCAACACAGATAGGGATGCTTAGATTTGTGTATGTGTATATACTACTTTCACATTATTTCAAACTCAGTACTTTATTAAATATCTCCTTGATAGTGTCTGAAAAAGTATTTAAAAATTAATGTTTCTACTTCCTACCTCCATATCTGATTCAGATGCATATTGTGCCCAAATTGTGATAATATTATGGTATGTCCTTTGTTAAAGGAACATTAGTGGCTTTCTAGTATAAAAGCCTAACTACTTATTTTTTATGATTTTTTTCTTACAGCACTTGAAGCTCCCAAACCTATATTCCTGAGAATTATGTCAAGTACAATTAAATTACATGAACAAAAACTAAGATTTAAAAAATCAGTAGTAAAAAAGAGTAATTGCTATATCAACTGATACATAGAGCTGCTTTTTTTGCATCATGAAGTAGCATCTAAGATCACCTGAGAGAAAGTTCCTTTAAAAGCTATGGGTATATTTACACACAGTTTCAAAGCATATTATATGTGTTTTAGATTACAGTGGCTAAGCATAAATCAGTATTCCTATGTGAACCAGGCTATCACATTATATCTTAATAGTGTTTGTTTTGCAATAACATATTAGTACATTTGATTGCTAAATTTTTGATTTATATCAACCACAGACATTTGTGTTTGGTAACACAGTCTATAGCACAGTAGGCAAATATACCACTGAGAAAGAACCCACTGAACATAAAGGTTACTTTAGAGGAAACATTCACATATTAATAGTCTTAATACATCACCATTCACAAGGAGTCCAAAATGAATAAAGAAATACTTATTTCACAGAACACATAAAACAGGGGGGGGGGGCAGCATCAGATATGAACACAGGAAACAGCTTAGAAGTATTTCACCATGTTTGTCAGCTTCTCCATGGCATCTAGCTAGCTACTAGGAAAATGCTTGTTCTGATCAAGCAGAAGCTATATTTACCTTTTGGCAGGCCGAATTTCAGCAGATGGTCCAGTTGCATAACATTTTCTAGGGATGAAACAATCCCCTTTCACATAAAAGACTTTCTCATTTTTATTTTGTAAATAACCTTATCTCAAATCGTAATACCTGATATTGATCTATAAATAATTTTTTGGAGAGTCTTACAGCTTTATTTAATTTTGTATTTAAATGATCAGTTGACCAAAACCATCAAAAAGCACCTGTATTTTTTTTAAAATGGAATTAATTGTTTATTTTGGGGATAGGTATTCCGAGTCTATACCTATTTAAAACAGCTGAAATTTTCCATGACCTTTGGATCCTGCAACTTAAAGCATTAGTTTCATCAGTACCTCATTCTGGTTAATAAGTATTTCTCCTGCCCAGATATAGTTTACTCCATGTCAGTGGTTATCAAAAAAGAGAAATACTTTGAAGATAGTTTATAGATTCCATTAAAAAGTCAATCAAATATTTAGAAAATTCTTCAAAAGAGCCTGCTTCACCATTAAATTCTTCTGGCAGAAGGCTGACTGGAAAATGTTTCTGGAGGCCATGTGCAAAGTTATTCCCATGCAGATGAATCTACAATTAGATAGCAGATAAATCAGATAATCACATTAAATTAGACATAAGGTACCATGAAAATAGATTCCAATCACCAGTCCAGGAGACTCTCTATTTGAGAGACCGCCTTCTGCCAATTACCTCCCTGCGTCCCATCAGATCGCATAGAGTTGGCCTCCTCCGTATTCCATCCGCCAGTCAGTGCCGACTGGCGACTACTCGGAGGAGAGCCTTCTCTGTTGCGGCTCCGACACTATGGAACAATCTCCCCGTGGAGATTCGTACCCTCACCACCGTCCAGGCCTTCCGTACAGCCCTCAAGAACTGGCTAACCCGTCAGGCCTGGGGATAATCTTATTTCGCCCCTCCCGAATGCTGTGAATGTTGAGTTTTATTGTCTAATTTACTTTGTGCACATTTCTTTTTTTGTATTGTCCTACACTCCCCTTCCTTTTTTTGATTGTAAGCCGCCCTGAGTCCCCTCAGGGAAAAGGGCGGCCTATAAATAAACTACAAAAAAAAAAAAAAAGATTGGATCTGAAAGTCTAAATAGACCAAGATTACAATTCAATGAATAGAAATCTATACAGAAAATATGTATAAAGTTATATGGAGCTGAGATAAGTGGACAGGGTAGGAAAGCAAACCTCTTTCAGCCTTCCATCTGAAAGTACTTTTCCCATCCTCCTCCCCCACAGCCAGCTAATACAGCTTTAGCTCAGAATTAACACTATCAGAAAGAAATATACAAATATATAATTGTCGTATACTTTACTTTGTAGGGTAAGAGCTCTATTTTCTCAGACATATATCAGATATAAATTTGTTGGTCCACTCACCATATTTTTTGGATTATAACACCTTTTTCCCTCAAAAAAGAGGGTAAAAATCTGTGTGCGTTTTATACACTAAATACAGCATTTTTAGCCTCCCGAAACTCCAACCCCATTGCAAAAATGGCTGTGCATAGCCTTTAGGAGACGTCCAGAGTGCTCCTGGGGGCTGGGGAAGGCAAAAATGAGTAAAACACGGGCCATTTTTTGCTCATTTTTGCCCTCCTCAGCTCCCAGGAGGAATCTGAAAGCCTCCTGAAGGCTATGCATGCCTTTTTTAAAAAAATGAAAAACGGGGCCGTTTTTGGGAGGTCTGCAGAGTGCAAAAACTTTTTTTTTTTAATTTGCCTCTTCAAAATCTTGGTACGTCTTATACTCCGCAAAATACAGTAAGGGTAAAATTTTGAAAATATAGAGGTGGAAGAGACATCTTCAAGAATTGTAATTATGTAATTATGTGGAATTAAATGATTACATGATTTTTCCAGGAAGTGCTGCAAAAGAAAATCTGGCTTTCAGAAAAAAGTCCATAATGTTGCAAGCATGTAGTATATTTTTATTATGAAAAGAAGGAAATGGACAATAGCACTATTTATCAACCTCAACAACTTTAAGCTATGTGGATTTCAGTGGCCAGAAATTATTAGGTAGCCAAGTTGCTGAAGTTGAGAAACACTGGGGTACTTTATACATTTTCAAAAGTGGGTTTGATTTGTTTTTTTTCCTTCGGAAGAAATAAATATGAACTAGATTACTTGGATTAAAAAAAAGGACTCCCAGCAATATTTGGGATTAGAATCTTTTACATTCCTATCATTCTATCATCAGGAAATCAGGAAAAGAAACTTTTACATTTCTATATCAGGAAATAACAATTTCACTCAAAACTACTCAGCAGAATACATACACTTAGCAATAACACCTTTATCTATGAACTTGCATATTCCTTTGAACTGATACAATAGTAGGTTTATAGGTGGTTTCCTGTTAATTATAATAATAAAAGAATTGTTGAATCAGAAGAAAATGGATGTATTTATTTCAAAAGAAAAAAGTGCTGGGTGCTGAAATAATAAGGGATCAATTCCATAGCAAATAAGAATTTGTGCTCACTTACCCTTGCTTTGATTTTTTCAGGGAGTAAAAGCTTAATTAGATTAAAAACATGGTAAAAAATTATAGGCTCTCTAATCAAGTGGATTCCTCGAACTTTTAGTGGGAAACCATCCTGCCAAAAAGGGAAAAATAAGAAAATAAAGTCGAGGTGAGTTTGCTTGTTATATATATATAATTGATTTGAGCTCTGAACTTGGCAATTTGGTTGCAAATATTTCATCACCATGTGAGGAGACATTGTCAGTTCGTTTTGAGTTAAACTCAAAATGATTCAAAACACACTAACAATGTCTCCTCAAATGACGACAAAATGTTTGCAACTAAATTGCCAAACATGGAGCGCAAACAGCCTAACTACCAATCGAGCTACTAATATTCAAACATATTTCAAGGTCAATAAATTCAATATAGAAAACAATTTCTTTGAAAAGGTTTTAAACATCATTGTTTTATATGGACAACCATACCTGTGTTTTGACGTATGAATGGACTGTATTTATATAATAATTACTGAATACTCAATTGTAAGGTGAAAGAATTGATTTCAGAATTGTATCTATTTCAGACATATCTTTTGAATTATTAAGACTTGATTATGGATCATCAAAATATATTTTAAATTAATTCAAGCAGTTGTCAACTCAAGTGCACTGAGAACTATGGAGACAATGTGAAATTATTGACTACAAACCCAAGACAGTACACATCTTTGCACTATAAGCAAGCCACAGTGTCAGACAATCCAAGGTGACCAAGCTCTTTAGAGCATATAATAATACAGGACAAACCTGGAGAGTGTGAAGTCAGCAGTGGTTGCATCCAAGCAAATCTATGGACCATTCTTCTTCACACCTAGCTGCCTATTTAGAATATGGACAAAAACCAAGATGGGGGCAGCCTGGCAGACATATTCTTTATTCAGTTTGAAGAGAGTTTAATTTTGAATTGTAGCATAAAGCTATACTTATTTATGTTTTACATGGGAAGGATGCATGCTACTGGCTATCATTAGTCTTTATTTATTTATTTAGTTTGTCAAACATGTACAAGATAACAGGTATAAGTATAAACATGGACACGAACACAGGAAATGAGTACAAATAAATGGGGACAGTAGGATAGGGATGGTAGGCACGCTGGTGCGCTTATTAGGAAGGGTGTGAGGTCCACAGTAGACAGTTTAAGGTTGAAGCTATGAGGGCTGAAAAGGTGCTATTTATTTGCTTCAATTCAGCTACCTGATTTTAGTTCTTGGAAATTAACATAATATGCCTCAGTGGAATAAATAAGAATAAAGCTTACTGTGAGTGCAAATGTTATTTTCTTGGTCACTGCTGGAGTGACCTGAAATGCATGAGCAAATTTCCATCCTTGGAGATCGAAGATTGCCTTGACTCCATTACGTTGGGTATCTGGCTCTCTTGCCAAAAGCTCAGATAGCATAATACTTACACGAAAGAGATCATATGCTGTAAATATCTTAGGATCCCATCGTGCTAAATGAAATATATATATACACAGAGAGAGAAAAAGATATGAATTATTTAACAATAAGCCAATTTTTCTGCACAAAGTGAATATTTACCCTTAAATAAAATTCTGAACTAGGCAACAGGAATAATGGGAAACATTAAAAAGTTTACTTATGTTTTCCAAAACTTGTGCATCATGAACTATTCCAGACACTAGGTAGGCTTAATAGCAATCATACATTATTTGTTCAACTGATATGATTTTCCTAACACACAATGAGAATCAATTTTATGAAAGCTAATATATAAACACAAATTAAAAACACCTATAGTTTCTATACTGTGAAAACAATTAAGACAAATTAGGAGTCACAATTTAAATACAACCATACTTTATAGGCCACTTCACAAAGTTTATCATAATTATTCTTGCTAAGAAAACAGTTACAATAAATAAAAATAAGAGTGTGATAAGCATTACTACAAATGTCTACATCATTGATTTCAAAGACTGGATGAATGGATGAACAAGGAAATGAGGTACTAGATTATTCTCCATCAACTCCAAATCTGTCAGTTCTTCATAGGGAAAAGAACTAGATAGGGGTTTTCTTAAAAAGCGGTCTAACTGATCTTTATTTTTCTTATTTTCCAATTGCTGAAATAGTTGGGCTTGGTTAACACAGGTTAAACGCTACTATTGTATAGAACAATCCCAACAGACTTTCTTTACCTGTGAAATTCTACTCTAGCAGTAAAGGGGCACAATAGTGCATCTAATCTTCTTTTACAGCTATCAAACATAGAAACACTCTCTGAACTGCTTATATTTTCTTGTATTTTCAGGAGAATTAAAAACTGCTTAACTCTAATTAGATTCTATTTAAATTTCTTGGAACACATAACATATCAGTGAGAGAGAGTAAAGTCTGAGCAGATGCGCTCCTAAATATTTAATTCAACATCATTAAAAGCATAGTCTCTGTGTATTATAATCTACATTTTGCCCCAAGTCTTCCAAGTTGCTTGTTCAAACAAACTCTCTTTCTTCATTCTCTAGTTTTTATATGATTATTGCTTTATGGCTATGTTTATTCCATTCCTCCCCCTTCATACCTTAATAATCAACAGCCCACAAAAATTATCTGTACATTATTTGACTGAATGTTGGCCAAATATTACTGCTGATCTTAGTGCAGCATTTGCCTTAAGACAAATTTCCCTTTCCAAACTGTTTGAAAATAATAATAAAGGTACAGATGTAAGATTCATTTAAAATGAAAGCAAAGTGTCCATGAAAGAGATGTGGTGGCATAGTGGTTAGAATGCAGTACTGAAGGCTACTTCTGCTAACTGCCATCTGCCCACAATTTGGCAGTTGAATTCTCAGCGGCTCAAAGTTGACTCAGCCTTCCATCCTTCCTAGGTCAGTAAAATGACCCAGATTGTTGGGATCAATATGATGACTCTGCTTAGAGAAGGCTGTAAAGTGCTTTAAAGAGTCTAAGTGCTATTGCTATTGCTTTATATACCATAATAATGAACTCAAAAGGCAAAGGCAACAGAAAACACAAACTATTTTGGGTGAGATTAAAAAGAAGAGAAATTAAAGAAGTTTCCAGAGAAGATAATTATTTCTCAACCAATGAAACTTCTACAGCAACAATTATCTATGTTAGCATTAAGAGAAATGGAAATAAAAATAAATTATGCAAACAAAAAAATGAGTTTTCAAATAAACCAGGGAAATGATGGAAAAAATATTTAAATTACAAGAGAGTGATACTATAATAACAGATAATGTGACTATGCAAAAAGTATTTCAATATAATTCCAATTTATATAAAGGAAAATAAATTTCCCTGGAGAAAATAGATGAATATTTAAATTTTAAAAAGTTTTACTGAAGATTACAGAGAAATAGATTATAAACAGACCAGGGGTGGGTTCCTGTACCAGTTCGCTTCATGCATGCGCCTGCTGCGCGTTGCTCGCTCATGCGCAGTTGACTTTAAATTGATGTGCATATATGCAGAAACATGCTGGCAATGGCAGAACAGACCAGGGAACTGCTTCAGGGGTGTGGCTAGCCTGGGTCACTACCGGTTCTGCAACCCAGGCCAAATCACCACTATTGATTTGGCCGAACCGGGCTGAACCGGGAGCAACCCACCTCTGAAACAGACCCATAACAATAAGATATGTTTGTGAAGTTATTAAAAAAAGACTAAAACAGGAAAGGAAGGAGGTCAATTGTTTCCTAAGTAAAAGGCAGAAAAGGAGAGGGGAGAAAAAAGCCTTCTTTTACTTGTGTGTGTGCGCACACACACACACACACACACACACACAGACAGACACACACAGAGAGGAAAGTAAGTTATCAAATATGGTCCAGTGTGGCTGCTCATCCTTCACTTCTCCAGCTGGTCAACTTTAGCTTCTTTTTGCAGGCAATCTTCTAACCTTGTTAACTAGCCAGGAGAACCTGAATTACAGCTCTCTTCTCCTCAATCCCAGAATCAGCAATTTCACTGAGCAAAGGGCAAATAGTAGAAGGTGCAATGGACATGGCCGTGGCTTCTGGTCCTGATCATAAGGTCTGAGGGCAATTTATCCACTATCCCTGTATGTGCATTCTTCCCCTTCATCATCCTTCACTTTGGTGTTAGAAACTAGATAGAGTATCCTATCTAGTTTCTAACACCATAATCAACATAAAAGTTACTTGCCAATTCTATAAATGACAACTCTAGAACCACATGGATCCCTCTCTTTCAAAATTCCAATGTAGCCTGTTTGCAACAAGCTAAGACTTGAGGATGGATGTAGATTTGCAATTATTTCTGGGCAGTCCCTTCTCCATTTGTGGTAGTTTTTGAAAACCTAAGAACAGAAATAATAAACAGAGATGAAAATGAGATAACACAATATCATAATTTCATATATATATATTTTCATGGATAATAACAGCCTGATATCACCTACTAAAATTCTGGATGTCACAAGCTTAGACCTATAATACTTTCCTGTGAGTTTCTGTCTTCTCAGGAGTCTCCTTGAACACCAAACCTCAAAGTTGATTATACAGCCAGTCTTTAACATACAACCGATCACTTAATTTCTGTTCAAAGTTCCAAAGGACTGACTTGGGGGTACTTGGCACCTAGATTCTAAGTTCCAATGAACATGACTGCATTTCAGGCACACCACAACCTGACTGTATTTACAGCCATTTGCAGGATCCTGTACTCATGTAACTACATTTTATGACAGTTTTACAAAGTCTGCATTTACTTCTGATTTTCAGCAAAACCATGTCCAAAGCCAACCATTAGTTTGCTTCACAACTATGATGTTTACTTAACAATCATTGCAGAAAAATTACTTTACAACTGTCATGAGTTACAACCATGCTGGGCAGGCTCCATTATGGTTGTAACCCAAGGAGTGCTTGTACAAGAGAGAGGGAGGGAGGGAGGAAAAAGAGAGATAGAGAAAGAAAAAAAAGTTGTGTATTTATATGAACTCTATCATAGCTGGTGAACAACAATTTAAATGGCCATTAGTGTTTATTTAGATTTTTGCAGTCCAAAAATTATTTATAATGTAGTCCATTGCCGATTCTAATGCTACAATCCTGGTTTATGGAAAGTTTCAGGTACTTTCTTGCCTATGCCTATGCCTGTCTATGCCTATATGAATGCTTATTCACCATGGACTTAATTGGCTTTACCTCCTAGTAAATGCATTTTAGATTTTGCTTACTTTTCATGTAAGGCATTTCATAGAATCACTTAGCAGATATAATTGCCAAGTTCCCAAAATGCAATCACAGGACCATGAGGGTGGGAGACAGACAACCAGAACTTGAACCTGGGTTGTAAGTACATTTTTGCGGGTCTGTAACAACCATGGCCACTAAGCGAGAATTATTATTGGTATCACACATACACACATGAAGACAAGAAATTTTCATAATTTAACATTCTAACTTAAAGCTATTCAAATTTAATACATCAGAACAAATTAATTTTATTCTGTAAAGCCAGTATGGAAGTGGTATATGGAATGGCATGAATTGATTATAAACATTAAAACAGGACATAAGAGTTTGAAGTTGTCCAAATATTGCCATTGATTATTTTTTGCATTATGAGTTACCCATGATAGAATCAAGCAAACTTTAATAACACTGCCATCTAGTCTTCATTTTGGAAATAGTTTACCTTAGTGCCACACATACTTTGGATTTCTAAGGCAAAACAATGCTTTGGAGCATGTTTGGGCAAGCACTAAATTGTTAAATGTATATTATTCTAGATTCACATGAGAAGGTGTAGGTAATGTAATCACATAATCCTGGTGGATACTATAGGACTATTACAAAAACTTTTTGCCTTCAGGTTTAAAGCATTTCATTATTCTAGCCAACAACAGTACCAACATGGAATATTAAATAACTGTATTATGGCAATTGTGTGGGAAGATCAGAAGGAACATTTGAATGAAGCACAACGAGTGAGGATTAGATTTTAATAAAAATAAGCTATTATTATTGCTAAAACTGACAATCAATATGCACAGCTCCATATCACCTTCATAGAGCGCAATATATTCTGTCTCTGCACTTTTACAAATAGGCCCGGGAAAGCTATTGGATGCAATAGTAACAACAAATTGCCTGCCTCAGATATAGTAATAAAAATGCCAATGTACATACATTTCTTAGTGAACAAAATGAGTTAGGTTGGAATCAAATATGTGCTTAGCATAGATTGAAATGTCAATATAAATAAATGTTGCTCTGTGTAGCAATATTAGTTACAGTGTGATCTGATCTGAATGCAAGATACAGGAATGTTTTGCAAAAGGTGAGTTGGAACATAAATTAATAGCTCAAAGCTCCATATTATTTGTTAATGCAAGGATTCCCAGTCCCCGGTCCATGAACCAGCATCGGTCTATAGCCTGCCAGGAAACAGGCAACACAAGCTAGTAAAGGCCTAGGTGCTCAGGTGCAGGACCCAGGCAGTGATGAAACCATGCCCCTTTAGTCCATAGAAAAACCACCCTCCACGGAACCAGGATCTGGCATCCAAAAGTTGGGGATCATCGTGTTAATGGATTCCAAGTTTATTATTTATTAAATGTACATGTATGCTCACATGATGACAATAAACTCAGATAGCAAAGTTGAATAGTGTTTGGGCTAAAGTTTTAAAGGAGTAAATAAAAATATTTTGAACTGCCTCTTCTATCGTATATCTGACACAGAATCCTTCTCAGAGCCAGAACCGTATACTAGAAACATCTGCAATAAAAAAAATCATGATAAATTCCTCCCATGTCTGCTTCATACACATTTTAAAATTCCCCATATTCTAAGGAAGTTTGAAATTTCCTACACATTTTTGTTATAGGTTTTTGAAACTGATTGTTAGAAAGCTTGATTTGTCAAACAGCAGTAAGAATATGAAAGATGAGAGCAAAACTTTGAAAAGCATATAAAAGGACAGAGAAATGATAGAATACTAAATAATAACCATATAACTAAGTAGTAACAATAAACTAAACAAAGGTTTGGGAAACAGAATATTTGTTTTATTTATTCCACCTTCTCTTCTTGTGTCTGCTTTCCCACAATTATTGTGAAAATGGGAATTTGTATTTGTGTGTTGTAGGTTTATTTCTATTTCTTTGAAATATGGTAATCTAGCTGGGTACAATGTCTGGTTTGTGCAAACTCAACATTTCACTTTGAATTAAGATGACACAGGAAAACAAAAGCTTATAGAGGCAGAAATAAAAACAGGCAAACAGGGAAAACAGTGGCATACATGTACCGCATGAAAACATGAACTCTGTCACTATTTGTATAGTTGTAGTTTTCTTTCTCAGTATCTTTCAGGAATCTGTGCTCAGTGCCTTGAGCATTGCGTCCAGAATTTTAAATTCTCTTAGCTTTTTATTGTCTTTTCTGTGCTCCTTATTGCTCTGAGGTACAAAGGTGATGGAAGTTATTACTATAGCTGTCTTTAACAGCACAAAAAAGCTAGAAGAAAGACAAACTAAATACTACTGGATGGGTGGTGCTTTAAAAAAGGAAAGGCAGACACATGCTTAAAGAAATCTGAACTGGAAAAAAAAGGATCAGTGCCACACAAGTGAAGAATGGCTTCCAACTGATACAAAAGCCACCCCAACCTTGTGTAAAGGAATTTATTCCTGGTGAGTAAGAAGGAAGTGAAGAAATGGTTGCTAAACACTGGGAAAGTAGAAAATATGAAAAAGAGACTCTGGAAGAGAATGTTTCTGACTTGACCAATGCTATCCTTAAAAAGGGTGGGGGCAGTGAAAGTTTTGGAAAGGCTTTCAAAATTCTGTTAATGTGTCCTACAAAATAAAGTAGCATTTCTGGAGTATCTCATGACCTGGCCTATCTTCAAGGGCTAAAGATCAAGAACGACAACTGTTCAACAATAATGTCTATGGAGATTCTCAATTATCCAGGTCATGGTTGTCCCAAAGGTGCTTTTTCAAGAGGCAACTGGAGTTTCTGGTTTTTCGTTGAAGATGTTTTGTTTCTCATCCAAGAAACTAGTGGTGGAAGCTTCTTGGATGAGAAGTGAAACATCTTCAAAGAAAACCAGAAACTCCAGTTGCCTCTTGAAAAAAGCACCTGTGGTTCAACAATAATAGATTTCTGACATCCAAGATTATGCAGTTCAATATTCTTTCAAGACGAAAGAGCAATTTGAAAAAGATGAAGGGTAGCCATTAAGAAGCAAAAACCAGGCACAGGATGAGGTGAGGTGTGCCTTGCCATTGTTGTCCCCTTGCCACTGTCTTTTTCTGATGGGCTTCAACTTCCCAATCTAACCCGGTATTTCCCTTGCAGTCACCCACTGAAGTAATAACCAGTCCAGACCTTGCTTAGCTTCAAATAGGTGTAGGCACCTGCTTGGGCTCTTTCATAAAACAATTTACAGAATCAACACATTCCAATTGGTGGAAGTCTCTGACAAAGAGAAGAGCAATGCTCAGCGTCTCTAGTGAAGCAGATGGAGGCCAAAGAGGAAAGCAAGAGGATCTTTATAAGCTGGTAACCTTCCAGCTGTTTAGCATGGAAGGATCTGTGCGACGTTGGCGAGAAGGAAGAGTCCGAGCCAGACAGCGAAGCAAAGTTACTTGAAGAAACCCGCGCGCCAGTCTTGAGCTAGGAAGGGAGGAAGCAGGGAGGGAGGGCGTTCGTGTTTCTGTTCTTCTCCTGGGGACCGGGATCGCTTTACCTTCCAGGCCAGGTCGCTGTCGAAGTCTCGACACCGCAAAAAGCGGATCAGACAGGCGTCAGAAAGGTCAGACTGGCGGACCTCTAGGTTCTCTTCCACGGCTCTCCACCTCAGCGCTGCAACAGCGGCCCTCACCTGGGGGGAGTCGTCCGGCAAGTCGTTGAGGTTACCCGGCGGGGAAATAGGCTGGTCTCGGTCCATATCACTGCACGGGAGTCTCGAGGAGAGGCAGGAAGGCGCTTCCTAAGCGCCCCTGCCCATAACTACCGGGAGAAGAGAGGAACGAAAAGAAGAGCTTCGCCCCGTAAACAACTGGCACAGCCAAAAAAGCACTCTCAACTCAGTTGCGAAAAGATACTCCGTGCCCCACCCCATGGCAAATAATAAGGGCAGCATTAGGACGGTCCACGCTCAGCTATTCCACAGCCAACACTTCGGTCAAGAAAGACGGCGCAGGAGGAGCACCTTGCGCAACCCGAACAACACGGGAGTGGAGAAGCAAAGGACCTTTTGGGACAGTAGAGCCCGGCTGTTGCCAATCTTCAAGGCTGCTACTAACATGGACGCAGAAAGTGAAGCCAGCTTCTTCAGTCAACTTTTATCCGAGTAGTTAAGCAGATTGTGGCAGAATAAAGTCGCTCTCCCTGTGTTACAGAAGTCTCGGTAGGATTGGCTGGATTCACTTCGAAAGCTAAATGCTACCTAGCTGTAAACAAAGCTAGAATGCACTTTGTTTAATTTTGGCTTAAGCTGTTATAGGCTTAAGCTGTGTTATATTCAAGGTCTCTTCGAGTGGCACTCCTGGCTTAATTATTGTTGAGGTGTCCTGTGACTATTTTGGAACCTGATTTATATCAAGGCAGGGGTTTGTTTGTTTGGTTTTGTGGTGCTCCTGTTTGGTTCTTACTACCTACCATAAAACAATAAAGTCCTATGTTTAGAGCAGGGGACAAAAGTTATGTGTGAGAGAACTCTGACTTCACAGATTAAGTCATTCAACAAGGATCACCTTTTGGCTTAGCACAATTTAAGGTAAAGGTTCCCCTCACACATCTGTACCCTCACACATCTGTACTAGTTGTTCCTGACTCTAGGGGGCGGTGCTCATCTCTGTTTCAAAGCCGAAGAGCCAGCGCTGTCTAAAGATGTCTCCGTGGTCATGTGGTCGGCATAACTAAATGCCAAAGGTGCATGGAGCACTGTTACCTTCCCACCAAAGGTGGTCCCTATTTTTCTACTTGCATTTTTACATGCTTTCGAACTGCTAGGTTGGCAGAAGCTGGGACAAGTAAAGGGAGCTCACTCCATTATGCACTGCTAGTGATTCGAACTGCCGAACTGTTAACTTTTCTGATCAACAAGCTCAGCATCTTAGCCACTGCATCCCTCTAGTACAATTTAGTGATGCCCAAAAATGTTCCACTGCCTCAACACTTACATTTCAAGGCAAAAATAGGTGCATATCTGAAAATATTGCAGATTTTCATGGTCATTGTTTTTGGTAAGGTCAGAATCACGGTCTGATACTATAAGGCAAAATAAGAAAAAATGTATTTGTGAACTGACAGGGTGTCAAACAAGATGATTTCTAAGATTCTTTCAAACCTAGACATTGATTCTATGGATGTCTCTGTACATGGAAGTCTCATTATAATGTAATTCCTGCTTTCTTTCCAGCAGTTTAATAACCACAAACTATATGTATAACTCATGCTATTGGCTGTCAAAATAAGCATTCCAATAACACTTGAACTCTTATTAGAAAATCCAAATTAATGCTCAAGCATTTCCACATATGTTCTTTTCATGATGTGTTTAAATGATAAACAATGAAGCCCCAGAATAAAAGCTTTCCCATTGGAAAGCATGTATCTGATCCTACATTTTGAAGGATGGAGGGCGGAGCAAAATGGCCATAGAATGACCGCATTTTAGTGACCTTTTAATTTTTCTATTTCAGTACTCTTTTAGTTTTAAAATAGCTTGTTTTATTTACGTCAATTAGTAGTTTTATTTCTTATATTGGTATTAGTAATTTAAGAACTTGAGAATTAAGATTAGTTGGTGTTTTATAGTCTGGAATCCAACAGCTTTAGACATCTGCTGATGATTATGAGGCAGCAATGGCTATAGGAAAGTAATGAAAAAGAATTCCCTTAGGAAAGTCCAAAGGAAGGATAAGTTTAAAATGATGGAAAGAGAAAATTCCAAACATTCTGAACATTAAGGCACCAGAGCTAACTCTGAACTATTTGTTCCAGCATAAGGACACAGTATGTAATTTTTCTTGTCCTTCCTCTCTGCCCTCACAGTCTTTGCTAATAAATCCTACACCCTATTTCATTAGGAAATGATTTTTTCCTCTGGTGAGAAGTTTTCTGTAGGAGATAAGATGGTAGTACCCTTTGAAAGCCACAATAATTTAAATATGAATGTATGACTTGATGGCTAAAAATTGGCTTTTAAAAACTACAAGAGTTACAGGTAGTCTTCAACTTACGTCCAAAAGTGGGACTGGAACCTCTGTCACTAAATGATGCAGTTATTAAGGGAGTCACACCCAATGTTACGACTTTTGTTTTAACCAGGGTTGTTAATTGTTTCATGGTGTTTTTAAATGCCTCTGGCTTTCCCCATTGATTTTGCTTGTCAGTAATCCCCTAGGAAGGTAGCAAATGACTACTGCTTGTCCCCAGGACACTAAAAGTGTTGTAAATTCATGTCAGTTGCTAAACGCTTCTCATGACTGTAGCGATACTGCAACAGTCAAAAGTGCAAGGACCAGCACTGCCATAACTTTTGGTCATTAAACAAATGATTGTCATGGATGAGTTATTTGTTCAGGGACACGGGATACTGTTCCACACTGCTGCCAATAGTCTTAATGGGGAACAAGTGGCACACGGGGCAACCAGCACTATACTCCTAAGACTTAATTGCAAAATATTATCCTGTTTTCCGGAAAATAAGATCTCCCCAGATAATAAGCCCAATCGGGCTTTTGAGTACATGTGCTAAAATAAGACTTCCCTGAAAATATTGCAACACAGCAGCAGCCATGAGATGACCATGGCCGCCGTCTCCTGCACCTCAAAAATAATAAGACCTCCCCGAAAATAAGGCCAAGTGCTACTTTCAGGAGTCAAAATAGGATCCTGTCTTATTTTTGGGAAAACACGGTAGTTAATATCAATCTCCAGCTTCCCAGATGGCATGGATTGAAAGAATATTGACCTTTAGGCATTATGCACTGCCTTCAATATTTTTTCAACTTAAAAAAACAATTTGTGAAGGGTTTTCAAATTGCGCTTCTATGTGTTTTTCACAATAGCTTTTAGCCTCTGCTAAATCCTGGGAGGAGAGCCAAGGCAGGATGGCAGAGTTCGTAATCTCAGCCAGCAATTTCTTACACAGCAGCTCCAACAACTCCAAGGTCAGGCCCAGATAAGCACAGGAGATACAATCCCTTGATTTAATTAAAGGAAAGACACAAATATCAGTCAACCCTGAAGAATGAAGAATAACCAGCTCAGCCGTTTGGAACAAAAAACAATTGCACATAAACTCAAAGCAGTTAAATCAAGGCTTTGGTCAGTGACTACTGCAACTGAGTTTCTCAACGTTTCATCACTGCCCTCCAGTTGTTGTCCTGTTGAAATGCTGAATTCTCTGAGTGCTTAGGTAAAGGTTCCCCTTGCAAATATGTGCTAGTTGTTCCCAATTCTAGGGTTAGGGTTAGGGTCATCTCCGCTTCAAAGCCGAAGAGCCAACGCTATCTGAAGACGTCTCCATGGTTATGTGGCCGGCATGGGTAAATGCCAAAGGCACACGGAACGCTGTTACCTTCCCCCTCAAGGTGGTCCCTATTTTTCTACTTACATTTTTAAGTGCTTTTGAACTGCTAGGTTAGAAGCTGGGGCAGTAACCTCACTCCGTTACGCAGTGCTAGGGATTCGAACTGCCAACCTTTCTGATTGACAAACTCAGCATCTTAGCCACTGAGCCACCGTGTCCCTCTGAGTGCTTAACAGCCCCCTAAAAGGTTTTCCAATGTAAATTTATTTAAACAGCCCCCTAAAAGGTTTTCCAATGTAAATTTATTTAAACAAATGAAGAAAATACCAAGTAGTTCAATGTAATGCAATCTTTTTATAACCTCCCAGATGATTAGCTCACAGGCAAAAAGCCCTTACAACTGGATGGTCAACAACAGACTTGTCAAAGGCTTCTCAGGTCCATTCCCACAGGCTTCCCCCTGAATAAATCTTGATTTTATTCTTCCAATGACTGCCCATTAATAATTTGATATTCCTCCTTGCAAGATAATTCCATAGGACTACTGAACATGGTCAGCCTTTTGACACTCAGCCCTTATTTACTCTATCCATGAAACTTCCCCTATGGAGTTACCAGGGGTGGGCTTCAAAACAGCAACAGGTTCTGTGCCTGGCTGCGGGTGAGCATGGCCATGGTGGGTGTGGCCTAGTGAGCCTGCTCTACCATGGTGGTGGGTGGGGGATGGTTTTGCCTTCTCCAGGCTCTGGAGGCTTTCCCTGAGCTTCTGGAAGGGCAAAAACTGCTTTCCCCAGGCTCTGGATGCCCTCCTGAGACCAGAAATAGGCCCGTTTCTGGCCTTCTGGAAGGCCTATTTTTCTCCCTCCCCGAGTCTCCACGTGGGCCCTCCACTTACCTCACATCCAAAATGGGCTGCTTGGAGACTCCTGGGAGGGGCAGGGTGGGATTGGGGGGGGGGGGCAGGGCCCAGCCAGGGATGGGATTTGGAGGTTCTCTGAACCAGCTATAACGTTAGCTATGGGTTCTCCCGAACCTGGGCCTCAATTCACCACCCACCTTAATTGGCAACAGGAGACCTCTCTCATCCCCATCACCATTTTTTTCAAGCCAAATTGTTGGCTGAGAAAGCCAGGAAATTGAAACTACATCTTGCTAATGCTCTTTCTTCCCTCTCTTGGAATGTAGCTGGTTGGGCCCTGAAACAAGCAGACTTTCTAAATATATAAGCAACTCCACCACAGGTCACTCAAACTTGAAACCAGGTTGGTATCTTACTATTCTAGTTAGGTTTCCTGGTACATGTATATTAATAGATGGGGATTTCAATGCAATAATAGATAATTATAAAGGACTCTATGAATTTTTTAATGGCTGACCTTCTGAAAAACTGAACCATCATTTATAAGGAAAGAGCAAATAAAATTCAAATGAATTGGACAGCTCTTTGCAATTTTTAAAAGATTCCCTATACCTGTATATTTTCTGTTACTCTAGGACTGTGTGATGAATCTAGCAGTCCTTAGTCTATATCCCTGAGGCTCACACTCAAAATTCTTTGTGGTTTTTTGCAACCCAGAGTTTTTTGTTGTTGTCTAAGCTGCACCCTGTTGACAATTATAGATATTATTAACAGAACCTGGAAGAGAATGATAATATTAAAAGAATGGTGTTTCTTGTTTTAAAGATAGCACCATATATATGTTAATGTGCATATTCTGTTATAAGAAGCAGCAGCAGAGAGGACAGCAGCAAGTGGGTTCATTCCTATGAGTTTTGTCAAAAGAACAGATTCATTGGATCTTTTCTGTAAAGTTTTCACTAGATTAATGTTGGTAAACACAAATTTTTGTTTCCTAAACTGAAAAAAATAATCTACCTATAGCCATTCTAATCTAAGGTTGGGTTCACAAACATGAAGTCATGATAATTTATGAAATCTTGCGCTCAAAACCAAGGAAAACACAATTTGTAGCAATTAATGCATTCTGAACTTGTTTATTAGCCCTTTCCCCAATTCTCAATATTTATAGAAGGGACAATAGAAGGTACCAACTATTTCAGAATGTAGGGGATGAAATATTTACTTGGCAAAACTGCATGCATGCACCTGAACAGCAGGGATTAAATTCTAATTTTCACACCAAGCTCCACTAATTTTGAGAGATAACAATTACCTGAATACTCACCAATTTTAAGGGCCTGGCTGATTATTGAGGAGACCACCAATTTTATATTCCTTTTATTTATAACAACCTTGTTTTTAGTCCTTTTAAATAACTACCTAGAATTCAATTCTCTTTGTCCTTTCTCACAAAATTATTCAAAGCTTTAAGTCTTTTTTGTAAATCCTAAATAGCAAAATTATCAAGGTTTCTCTTGGTTTATTTGAATAACCCTTTTAATTAAGATTATCAGCCAGTTTCATTTGATGTCCAGTACAGCTGCTTTTTCTTTATCGTTCTTGTAGCCTTTTGTTTTTAAATCCACTTTCAAATCAGTCCTATCTTGTTTCTCTTTCATAACATCTTTGAAACACAGTCTATCTATAGAGGTTGAAGACACTCTTAAAATTAACTTCTGTCTTGTTAAGAAATATTTTTTAATATATCCTGTGTTAAAATATTTTTCTCCATTCTAAATTAGTGCAATGTTATCCTTTGTTATCTTTACAGGGAGTCCTTATCTTATGGAACTTATTGGAACTGGAACTTTAGATGCTAAGCTTGAGTTATTCCCAACTTTATTCTTTTGCCAAGATATTCATTGGCTAATGGAGTTGTGGTGGCACAGTGGTTAGAATGCAGTACTGCATGCTAATTTACTGCCACTAGTTTGATCTGACCAGCTCACGGTTGACTCAAGACTTCCATCCTTCTGAGGTTGGTAAGATGAGAACCCAGATTGTTGTGGGCAAAATGCTGACTTTGTAAACCACTTAGAGGCTGAAAAGAACAATGAAGCATTATATAAGTCTAAGTGCTTAACAGTGTCAATGTGGATTGCTGGGATTACCATCACTAAGTGTTGGACATTGTGCTTTAGTTGAAAATTGTTATTTGTAACATATATGGAAGATACTAGACTGGGGAAAACTAAGTTAAAGGATAAAACCACATTAAATAAACAATTATATTTCAGATGGCACTTGCCCATATCCTTTGGAAGTTATGACAGACTAGATGAGTAGAAATTGAATAGTTTTTACTTTAAAAAAAAGTATTTTAGTAGCTATGCACTTTAAATCCCAAGCTTGTACTGCATGGATACTGGCTGTAGGAATCAATGGGTGTAATCCAACAGACAGCTATGGTGGCATGAGGAAAGATGCTTTAGGCTAAGTAGCTTGTATTTAGAAGGGAGAAATCTCCCTTGAGTTCAATAGGGCTGTGTTTATGCTCATACAGAATTGCTTCACATTGACTTTTGCAGTGAACACAGTTGAGTAATGAATATAGTCTTTCATTTACAATCACAATTAGAATCGAAACTTCCAATGCTAAGTGATGCAGTTAAGTGAGGCATCATGTGACTGTGCCCAATTTTATAATCTTTTTGTTTCAGTTGTTAAGTGGATATGACTTTTCCCATTGATTTTGCTTGTTGGAAGCTGGCTGGAAAAATCCCAAGTGGCGATCATGTGACCCGGAACACTGCAACCATCAGAAATACATGCTGGTGTCCATGTACCCACATGAGCATTGGGATGTTGCAACAGTCATGAGTGCATGGATCTGTCATAACCACTTTTTCCAGCATCATAACTTTAAATGGTTGTTAAATGAATGGTTGCAAATTGAAGATTACCTGTAGTGCAGTTACAGATGGTAAGCAATAACTCAGCTTGTTGACCGTTGTTTCAGTATTATGAAGTTATTAAAAACTAAATGCCGAGTCCTTATTCTATATATTATAGCCAGGTTTAGCAACTTCTTGGAATTTTGAAAGTGACCAAACACTTATTACAATGCTTTTAAAGCCTATTACAACATTCTCAGCTGAAAAATATATCCAAATAGCAGCACTTCTGAGATAGTTTGATGTGTCAGCTTACCTTTTCTTGTTTTTGAGGTTTGTCTGTTTAATTTATAGTTATCATGTACAAAGAAGTTTTTAATTCTTGAACTGTATCTTTGAGAATTAAATCCTATCAAAGTTCTGTTTCAGAAACTGATTTGAGTTTTTATTAAAATCTATTTCTCAATTAGCCAAGACACTTTTTATGGTGTGTATTTATTCAAATTATGATGCTCAGTACAATAATTGATTACAACACAGCATTCTTACCATTTTTGTAAATAAATAGCACCTGCACCATTAAATATCCAGATTCTCCCTATATATGTTCTTGCATAATAAATGTGTGAAAGAGTCAAGTATGTAAAAAGCTTTTATCTGTAATAAAATTTGTCCAATATGCCAACACAAACATGATATAGATACATATAAATAAAAAAGCATGGATTCTACATATTTAGGGATGGAAGAGAATACAGATATTTGCCATTTTTAAAAAAATTATGCATGTTTGTATAAATAAATATCACCTTGAAAACAAATTCAGAATGTTTAGATTTTATTTTGAAAATGCTAAAATTATAGACTACAGTGTTAATTATGTTTAATCAATTTTATTGTGCTTCCATTCCCTAGCAAAAAGATTGATTTTGGAATAGAACCAAAAGCTTTCAATGTAGATTTCAATTGTGAAAGAAATAACACATCCTCTTGAGGTTCATGTATGACTACTGAACAATGGTCTAACATTACATTACAGTTCAAACCTATTTAACATCTAATGCTACAGATGATCTGTTTGCTAACTAGAACTTTCAAAAGCTAGCAATAAAAAAATCACTCTAGACCAAGCAGACTTGAATTAATGACAAATTATAATAGAACAACAATTAACAATTGTGTAGCTTTTTTATTAGACAACTAGATTAATTGATTTGAATTCTGATTGTAACATATTTTATCAAAAGGAGTCTGCTCAGTAGAATTCAACCTTACTTTCTTAAAGGGTCTAGATTTTTAATTGGCATGGGTTACCCCAATCATCCAGAGTTAATTCACAAATATGTGAGCTGAAATATAGGAAACAAAAAGTGCTCCTAGATAGTGAAATTTTTAACAAGTAAAACTGAGTAATATAAAACTATGTTGCTTTCTAAACTTGTATTAAGAGAATGATTTCAGTAAATGCTCTTATTGCATCTAAATGAACCAATTATATGAATTCAGTTGATTATATAGCAACCTCCAAGCATCTGGGAATTCATGGATAAGCAGGCCTCTTAACTCCCAAAGGAAATTACAAATAAGGTTTCACATTTTATGTAAATCATTCTGAAATAATTGGTCCAGGTCTGAACTGAGACACACATTTTAGATGTATACCAAAGAAATAGGACTACTCTGTTTCGAGTAGAAGTGATTTCAGGAGTGAATATCAGCAGCTGAGAGAAAATAGTGAGAGAAGGTGCTGGGAAGTTTAGGGCCCAGGTGGGCAATGCTTGCTGGAACATCAGCAGTGGTGGCTGAAAGGAAGGAGGAAGATCTGGTAAAGTCAGGGGCAAAAAGGACATGCTATTCTAGAATATCAGTAAAGCTGCTGAGGGGGGGGGGGAATACAGGGGAGAAAAGACTCTTATTTATTCTTTACTAGAAGCTGCAGTGTAGAAATGGACAAAGGGGTGATATGTACTAATCTTACCCTATTCAAATTTCATCCAAAACCTAGAATAAATAAAGCTAAAGCTGAATTGTGAAGGACCAAAGAATATTTGCAGAACCTACAAAATGAAATGGAAACAAAATATTATTTCTGATTTATACACATCTCTAATTTTTACTGCCCTAATATAAACGGATAGGGGAATCCATATCATTTTTAACATTTAAAAATGGAAAAATATTCAGTTGTCTTTTGAAATTCCTAATACTGTAGAGATTGTTTCTATGTTGTGTATTCGTGATAATTTGTAAAGATAACTTTCATTTAGAAGGTGGCTGCTAACAAACCCTTCATGATTATACAATAAGCAAATATCATTAATATAATAGAACATAAATTGTCTATCCAAACTGCATGGCTCATTTCCTTCTGCCTATGCAGAAACTACAAGTTCTACTATTTTCATCCATGTAGCATATAGCAAAAATATGACGCTCCAAACTAAAATTCTTAATAACAAACTGACTGTTGTATTTTTCATGCTATATCATTCTAATTATTTGTTAATGGCAACCAGACTAATAAGGGCTTTCTTAATATTTCCCAAATGCACCTGTTTAGATCAATAATGATAGTATAGAGATTAAAAATGTTCAGTCTGCACTTTATGACTATATGAAGAGAATTGAAAGAACCATTAGGACTTCAATACACCAGTATGAAAATGCATTTACTGAAAGACAGCATTCATTATCTTCACTGTGTCAAATATCTGAACTATAAGCTTGACGCCAGAATTCACATTTCACTTTGCCTTGTTCTGTGAGATGGTGATGAAGTAGGTTTCAATTTATTCTTCTCTTAAGTTAGGTGCGTGTAGAAAGTATTTCTTTATGATTATACTTTAGAGTCAAACATTTTCTAATTATGGTCCTACTACTGTCTTCCAAAAAGCCTCCAAATAAAAGATTTAAACTTTTAATGTTAGAAATGTGGTGCACCTTGACTACAATAGACAGTCTTCTTGGAAATGCAGAAGTTCACGCAAAAGGTAGAATATCATCAGGAAACAAACGTGGATTCAATTTTTTTGAGAATGAAATGCAAAAAGAAAAATGTAGGCTGCTACTACTCACATTATCATAAGCATGACTTGCATCTTGGGCAAATTAAAACAGATTTTCATCCTGTCATCTGAAGTAAAAAAAAATTGTTATCTTTAAGATCTGTCATTTTTCAAAAACAGCATGGCAATACCATTTTGCTTTCATTGTAGCTAACTGTCCTTCAAACATCTACATACTTTGGTGGACTGTAAAGCCAACTTCATATGATTAACCATTTTTTTTAAAAAAAACCTTATATACTAATAAAACTCCATAATGGCCTGCACGTTAACTGTTGCATCTGAGAAATTATAATATTCTATTGTTGCTGAAAATATACGTATATGTAGCATTCAGAAGAGTACAGTTTAGATTCTTTGTAGAAGGTTCTAAGTTTCATATATAAATTGGATGATACTGTTTGTAGCCAAGTTTCTTCCTACAAGTTGGGCAAGAATTAGAATTTCTTAGAGAATCACGGAGACACTGGCTACAGAAGACATGGCCACATTTTGTTGATACAATGAGCCGTCCATTCTGAATAATCTCTGAATAGCCATCCATGCAAATTGGGCAACTCACAGTACCTGAACGGTGGGAACTTGGAACATCATCTTCTAACAATTCCAATTCTTTACTTAGTGTGCTAGTTAAAATCACTTCATCTCTTGGTTCATCGTCATCACTACTTAATATACAGCTGTCAGGGAGTTGATTTCTAAATTCTTGATTTTGTGGTTGACAAACATTTTCTTCAACAATCACAACTGAATCATTGTGTGTCAAATCAACTACTATTGGTTCTGAAGATTCACAAGTTAGGTCAACTACTTCTTCACAAGTGTTAACTTCAACATCAATTGGTTCTTGGGAAGCTGTTTCAGAACCTGTGTTACTAACTGCCCTTCTTTTACAAGTTTGTCTAGAATTAATTGTTCCTCCACAGCGCTTTTTCTGTAACTCGGCCTTCTTCATTCTTTCACTAGGAATCGAGTTGGGAGCTGTGGCAACTACTGGCACAAGACCATTTTCAGTGCTAGAAGAAGCTATGTTGGTACTGGGAGGCTGCAAGAAGGCTATGGTAGAAGTAGATGGTGTTGAGCAGGAGAAAGAGGAGCAGGAGGGAGCAATATTGGAAGATGGTCCTACAGATTTGACCTCAAAGACTCCAGCTAGGCTTGATGGGACAAGGCCTCCTTTTTTATTTTTCCGACGCTTGGTCCCACAGCGCTTGGTATCAGCTGGGCTCATGGTTGGCTATAGGCAGGGAAAACCAAATTCCCAATAAACAAGCAGTCTAGGAGTAAAAGAAATATATGAGTAAAACAGATGAAAGTAAAAATCCACTACATGTGCTTCCAACTGATGAACCAAAGAACAAGAGTACTAGCCATACTTTACTATGCAAATTATTTTTAAACACCACTAATTTTCTTTGTATAGATCATTATCAATGTTATTTATTGTTATAACTGAAATTATACCTTTTGACCAGGAACAAAGGTAGCGCGTATTGTATGCCCTTAACCCATTTCCCCCCCATAACAACAAACCTGTGAGATAGGCTGAGCTGAGAAATAGTGACTGAATCAAAATTACTTAAGATTAAAGTTGGATCTTAACCATCACATATGCTGGCTCTAAATTTAGTCAGTTTCTAGTCTTATGTTATAGTTAGAATAGCAGTTCCTATTATTTCTGGAATGTAAATTGCATAAATACATTTATTGCCTTAGTGCTTACCCAAATAAGCTTATGTTTAAAGTAGGCTTATTTTTTCAGTGAGTCAACAGTAAGTAAAGTTGAAAGTCTGCAGATTTATCAACAAAAAACTACGTAAGTCACCAATAGATCTATATTTAACAAGAGCCAGAGAAGATAGAAGCAGAATGTTCATATTTATTTAGCATTCTCAGTCTAAAGAATTGTTTATATTCCACTTCACTGAAAAAATAGCAAGCAGAATATTTATTACAAATTCTGAAAATAATGTTTCTAATGTTTAGAAATTCTAAAGTATTACAAAAACAAAATTTAGGTAATACCTATATTTTTAAAATCTTAATTATGCCAGTAAAAGTTTGATGAAAGAAGAATTTACAGGACTACTCCACCACGTGTAAAGGAGTGAATTTTGAATTTGAATAAGATTTGCCTAAGAATAAAATTATTTTAGATCAGGGCTATCACGCTCGCGGCCCATGGTCTGGATGTGTCACGTGCTGGCCAAGCCCATGTCTGGTTTAGCGAAGCGGAAAAAAGTTGTGATACATCATGTAACGCCACTGTGACACCACGAGTTTGAACCCCTAGTCTAGATATATCAGCAAGTTGAGAAGAAATTGACCTAGAGGCCAAGCCAATGGACTATGAATGGTGAAATCCAGCTTCTAGTCCCGCCCTACACATCAGAAGCCAGCTGGGTGACTTCGGACCAGTCACTTCCTCTCAGCCCTAGTAGAGAAGGCCACAGCAAGCCACATTCAAAAATGTTGCCAACAAAAGATAAAAAATAACTCAAAGGCTTTCTTCACTTCAAACCCAACAAGTTAGCACAGGTTTTTAAAAATTCCAATTTAATATTTCTCTAAGCTATTGAAAAGCCAATGTAGGCTTTTACATGTTATTAACTATTGTGAAACTAACTAGTTAGCTTAAATATATAACTAGTTAACTACTATGATATATATAGTATGTACTATAACTAGTATATTTAAATCACAATCAACTACAACTAATTCAAGTTCAAAGATCAAATGCAATCATCAAATTCAGACAGGATGACAAGAATTACAAAATTGAAACAAGGTTATCCCAGTTCAACACAATTACAGGAAATCCAATGGGTCCACCTTTTATTTGAATTCATTCAGTGAATGGGGGGCACCACCTTTGAATAATTGATTTGCTTATTGTCAAAATATTTTGTTAAGAAATCTCTTATATTAAACCATGATTCAAATGAAAGTACTAACTCAACTTTCTGTAGAATTGGCTACGTGTGCCCGTTTATCTATTTATAAATATTAACAGAATGTCCTAACTTAGACAAATAAGGAACAGATAAGATATTTACACTAATTTAACCTTTTTATATTATTTCATTGCTTAAGCTAAAATCTACTTTAGTAATCAAGAAAAATAAACTCGGACTTTTTGCTGCTTTCATTTGATTGATCATTAGATTTGGAAATATAGCATTCCCACCACTAAAGAAGTGCAAGACTATCAGCTAGTTAACAACTGACAAATGAAACTGGACAAATTCTTTATAATCTTTATAATTCTATACACTAATTTATCAAAACTAAAATATATCTTCAGTCAATTCTCATTTGGTAGCAGATTTAGCCGTCAGCTGTCCCAAAGGAAAAATGAAAGCAGAGGCATATTCTCTGTATCAGATGAATTTTTTTGCAGCAGTTAGAAAAGATGATGATGCAGGTCTAGACAGACCAGTGGTTCTCAACCTTTTCTTGGATGGTCCCTTTAAATACCTTTTGTGACCATGGACCTCCAAGAATTAGGATTTAAATCATAAAAAATTTTCAAGCCTTTGTGGATTCCGTATGATGACATTGCAGCCTCTTACAGGCTCAGTAGTTCTCAACACAACAGGTTGAGAACTACTGAGATAGGCTATTGATATAGATCATTAAAAAGATGTGCAGTTTGAAGAGAAATGGACCATTTTGAATATACAATTGTCATCTATTCACGTTTATCATGAACATGTGAAATAAAAAACTACTAAACATTAAACTGGCACACAAAAAAAATATTCAATGCTATTACCAAAATGATTGCATAACCATCCTTAGAAAAACAAACTTGTTAAAAAAATAATAACATATTTTATATATTTCACACAACAGCATTACATTCAACAGGAATCATGAATCAGTCTAAAATTTTTAAATTACTATTGTTAAAAGATAAGCAGCTTTTTACTCCAAAAATATTTTCACTTTCTGTTTGACAATAAAAAAACTAAAAAGGCAACTGTGAGCTACTCATAATGTAATGCCTCGGAAACAGAAGCAAATACTAATTTGCTATATCTGCTATCTCTTCTCTTAATGACTGTTTTCAATTACTGCCAAATGGTGTTGTCCTGGTTTGAATATACCATATTATTTCCCCTCCCCCCATCTAGTTTTGTTGCCTCAATTAAACCAATAGGCAAAATATCCATAATGATTTGCAGCAGGAGTCAGCTGGGGATGTAGGGTAGATTCTGATTTTATATACATGGTTATTTTTTTAGACTAGTCTTGCCTTCCTAGTATATCTTATTTGCACAGCATACAAATTAAAATAGAAATATATTGTAAGGCACAAGGATACAATAGTCCAGAAATGAGGGAGACAGATCCAGCCATGATGCTAATCAAGTCATGGAGTATTAAATATGCAAGGTACCTTGCTTGAGAATTAGATCTGTTGCTTAGTACATGAGAGTGGCAGGATGAGAACAACAAAATAGACAAATGCAGGGAAATGGGCAAAAATAATCCCATTTATGGGCAAAAAGAAAAAAAAGCAGAAAATTGAAAACAGTAGGAGAAAATCTTTATTAGGCTACAGACCAAAATACAATAGTAGAAATGAAATAGTTGCTTTGGCAAATAAAGGGGCTAATAAATTAACTAAATAAGTAAATACAAATCTATACCTATAATTTACTATAGAATTAAAAATATATGTTAATCTCAGTCATAGTGATTACCTCAACCAAATTCTATAAAAACTAGAGCTAGGGGCTCCTTTTTGTTGCTATCAGTCATCTACATTGGTTTTAATTTTATATCATTCTGTTAAAATATATGAACCAAATCCAATGAATACAAATAGTAGGAAATTTTCATTTCTTTAACACATACCCTACCAGGGTTTAAATTAGAGAAATGTGTGTATAAGGGGGGTAAGGTGAAATTTAATATTAAGGTTAGCTGAAGTTAGTTAACTAATCTGTTTGTGTTCCTTGTATTCAATCTATGTTAACTTTACGTATTCAAATAATGAATGCATAAAGGTATGATGGTGTTCATAACATTTTCAAATGAACTGATTTTTATCACCCTGCTTATATAAGAAATTCTAAGATCCACCTTTAATTTAACTGAAATAATTTCTCCTGAGATAATTGAGAAACCTTTTAAAGTTAGTAGTGCAAGGTGATGCCTTAACTTCTACATCAAACTGGCTCTCATAACCCTATATGCAAATTCTTCAGAGTAATAGCCACTGACTATCTCTATTTCTTAGGAAATAATCTTCAGATCCATAGATTTAGAGAAAAGTATTTTTACTAGGAAAGAACCAAAAGCAAGAAATTTCAGGCAATGGAGGCAAAGCGCGCAAAAACAGCAACTTGAAACAAACTGTATAGCCCAACCCCCTTGTAGCTAGGCAACCATAGACCACTGAATACCAGAGCTAGCAGATATGGCCTTGGACAGATAAGAAAATTCCAGGCCGTAATTGCAATGCAATGAAAATTCTCCACTGATTCCCATTTAGAATACTTAGTGTTTCACTTTTTAGAATTAATTTAAATGTTATTCAATGGATATTTTCCATTTTGCTTCATTAGTTTTTGTCTCTTAAGCTATTTATCGCTTTGCATTTTATGCCTGCTACTTAACATTTGATCTTAATGGCAGACTCTTGGTAAAAACGAGAAAGCAAGTCACAAGGGAGAAAGTATTATCCTAGTTATCTGAAATGTGTGCAGTTATCCTCAGGAGCACCTGGGGATGCTGTGTGATGGAAAGGCAATCATGCTTTTTTTTTGTCTACAACAGCACAGCAGTCATTTTACTTTCTAAGCCAGCATAAAAACAGCAGAAGAGTGTAGAGCCTTCCCCTTTACTATGGCTAGTATTTAGGTGGGGTTCCGTGGTTAGAATGCAGAATTGCAGGCTAATTCTGCTGACTGATTCTCCCTGGCTCAAGATCAGCTAAGCCTTTTGAGTTCGGTAAAATGAGGACCCAGACTGTTGAGGGCAATATGCTGACTGTTAACCGCTTAGAGAGGACTGTAAAGCAATGTAAAGCAGTATATAAGTCTAAGTGCTAAGTACTTTTTTTCTACCTAAAGAACCATTCAATTTGGTGGGAGAGAAGTATGTCCATTAAAAATTATTATTCTTTGGAATAATTAGAATGTAATTCTATGTATTTCTTCCATTAGTTCTCTCTCCCATCAATATATTATCTAAGTGTTCTAGTTAACAGTCACCGTACTGTCAACAATTTACTGTGCAATAATCTTGGAGGAGGTAAGATAATGATTTTATCTTGGAATGGCACTTGGCATTCTTCTATGCTGTCTAGATGGTTAAGGTATCTGACCTTGCCATTTCTATGTTTCGTACAGGAAGTCCTTGACTTAAGGTCGCAACTGAGCCTGAAACAAGACAATTAAGTAAACTTAATTTTGTCCCATTTTACCACTTTCTTGCCACAATTGTTAAGTGAATCACTGCAGCTGTTAAGTTAGTAACAAGGTTGTTAATTGAATCTGGCTTTCCCATTCTTTGCTTGTAAGAATGTCACAAAAAGTAATCACGTGGTCCCGGGACACTGCAACATGCTAGTTGACAAACATCCAATTTTTTATCACATGATCATGGTTATGCTGTAACAGTTGTATGAAAAACATCATGTCACTTTTTTCAATACTTGTAATTCTGAATGGCCACTGAACAAATTGTTGTAAATTGAGGACTACCTGTATTACCAGTAGGCAAAGCAGCATTCATAATGGAAAAAGTGGAACAATTTCATTCACATATGAAGATTCATTTTTTAAATTGTTTTGTCCCTCCCCCCCATGAACATTCATAGACTAGGACTTATTTTGTGATAGTTTTTACTTTCCACCATTTCAAATGTCTGGTTCCTCTGTGTTTAAAAAATTTCTGGCCATTTTTAAAAGTAATTTAAAGGCTGTATCCCATTTTTTCTTGGTCGATTGATTATGAGTGTTCTGGAATAGTAAAATAATTATTTTAAAAATAAAATAGCAACAATCTGGTACTTTAGTAAAGTTGTCCCCTTGTCTAAACTGTAGAAAGCCTGGGGATGTTGGTGCTAAACAAGAAAAGAGGTAGAGAAAGAAATGGGTTAAAAGGAATTTGGAAAACAAAAGTGCTAATGACAGTAGTCATTAGACAGTAGCTAATGACAGTAAAGGCTGAGTAAAGGCTGAGTAAAGGCTAAAGACAGTAAAGACTGAGATTAGTTGGTGATCAGGAGGAGGAGTTGGGTGGCCATATAAATATAATCAATTAATAAATACAGATATTTCCCAAAGCCTAAAACATATCTTCAATTGCTCCAAAAGGTTATCTGACTTCGCCTTTAAAATAACAAGTAGTAAAGCAAAACAAATTTAACATATACTGAAACAATGAGTTTAAGGAAGAAAATAAAACTTGTATAGGGGCTTGGAAAAAGACAGATATTAAAAAAGAGTTTAAAATGGAAATGTAGCCAAACCCTTCTCTGTCGATGCTATGTCATAGCTCAGCAATAAAAATTAAATCTCCAAATAAATGACTCGTGAAATCCAGTTCTCCATTAATCTAATAACGCTAGTAGTGGAGGAGAAGAAAGCATATATGCAAATATTTACTAACCACTTCCTGCCCTTCCTGAACAACAACGAGTTCCTCCCTTCCGTTAAGCCTAAATTAGAGGGCCTCGAAGCAGTCCAGACAAAGCCTGTTTTTAAGATCCTGGCTGTCTGCCTAATCCCAATTCCATCCTCAATCTGTCCAAATGTCTCTTTTGTCACAGAATCCGTTTTGGGAAGAAGCCTTTGCGGGATCTTCTGTTCCGTCCGATCTCCTTTAAACAATGGGAGACGGAAAGGCTAGGAATACAAAGCAAAGGCACACCTTCCTTCCCACCTTCCCACGTCCTTTGTCCCACTTGGTTCTCCCAGTGAAGCGCCGCTTCGAAGTCCACAACCCATCCCAGACGGGCCCCAATCACAACCGGGACAATGGCAGCCCCTAACCCGAATAACGCAGGCCTTTTCTCAAAGGCGACACCCCCGCCGGCCATGAAGCTGCACGGCTCAAACTCACCAACCACACCCTGAAAAAGAGCCCTTGTCTTAAACGCACCACGGGCCGCTGCCGAAGCGGGAGAAGGCCGTAGGCGGCCCCTTCTTCCTAGCAGCCACCTTTCGAAAACCAACTGCCCAGCTCTTCGCAGCCTCACTCACTTCCTCCTCCGTCCCAGCCAGCTTTTACTGCGCCTGCGCCAGATGCTCGTTCCTCTTACGAGGCGCCGCCTCTATATGGGCCTTTGGCGCACGCGCGAAGTTCCATTATTTTTTCTCTCTCCCCAACGTGACTTAAAGCGGAAAAGGAAATGGAAAGGTCAGGCGGTGACGTCGTCAACGGAGGGGGGGAAGAGCGGAAGGTGGAGAAGAGCGGAAGGTCAGGGTGCCGCGGAGCGGAAGTAGGAGCCGGAGCGCGTCCGCCATTGTGGGAAAGCCCGGAGCCCGGAGCAGAGGTGGGAAGTCGCGCTGCGTCCGGCGGGTGGCTTTGGGAGGCACTGACCAGGACAGGAGGGTCCGGGCTGCGGAGACAATCAGCCAGCGGCGGCGGGGAAAGTAGAGGAGGCGGAAACAGCGACCACGACGACCTGAGGGAGAGGAGGAGGAGGCCCAAGCGGAGCGGGGTGAGGGGGATTGCGGCTCCCCGTGAAGAATGTCAGCCACCAGCGTCGACCAGGTACCGCCTTCTCGCGGCTTCGTGGTTCCCGAGTGGAGGATCCCCTCGTCCCGCCTTCCTTCCGTTGGTCATAGCGGGGATCCGAGCCCGCTACATCCGAGACTGTGGGACTCCTCCCCTGCTCCCAGGACCGCCCCTTCTGCAGGCCTGGAGGCCGCTGGGCCTGGGGCCTTCCTGCCGAGGCTCAACGATTCCATTTGCTTGTGTTCACGGGAGGGCAATTTATTCGCTAGTCTCTTAAAATCCACGACCTCCGGCCCTTTCCTTGCTCGGGCTGGTCCCTGGCCCTCTCTGACTGTGGTTGGACGTGGCTCTGAGGAATTCGCAGTTAGTCGTTGCCGTTTGTTCTCCATTGTACAGTATTTTCTGCTGGCCTTTTGTTGCCGCGCTTCTTTTCTTCTCCCCCTCCCCCCAATATTTATTTTTCTTGCTCTTTTGTCGCCTTAGGGTAATATGGCTATTTTTTCCAGATAGTATGGCTTTGTTTAAATGCAGTGCTATATTTTTTATACACTGTTTTTTGCTTGCTTATTTTTTTCCTTTCCTAATTTTGCTGTTTTCATTCTTCTGTGCTTTTAACATTCCATTCCACCTTCTTATCTTTATGGGGGCTGTTTTTCTCCTTGTGCTCTTGGCAACCATCTAATGAACTTCTCTCTCCCTGTGTACACATTATCTTTTTAAAAGATATTTGAAAACTGTTCAAATATTTGATACTGGAAGTCTGTATTGAATAGCCAATTTAATAGACATCAAAATCAGTCACATCAGAGTCAGTATAACAATCTCAGATTTGAATTTTCACTTTTAAAAAATACCTTAGTATTTGCCAAAATTAGGCAAGTATAGATTTTTCTGCATTGATTTTATGCTTCACCAATACAAGGAAATTATTACAATTTCAAAGTCTCTAAGTCTAATGGGATAGAGGAGAAAAATGGGAATAATATACAGTGGACTGTTTATAATCATGTTATCACAGTGGAATGTTAATTCTTATCTATGCTTTAATGATAAATCTAGTGCTTAAATAAAAAGTTCTAATAGTTTTGTGTCTTATTGCTTGCGCTAATAGTGTACTTTTATGTTTAAATATTAAACTATTATGTATCTTTTAAAGTGTATAGTTCTTGTGATATTTCACGTACTAACCCGTTTAGAATTCATTAGATGCTTAGGTCCTAGTGTTTACTATTTTTAAAATAAGATGACTTATTTTCTATATTTATATTTAATTTATTGTTATTTTATTTCATTGCTCACAGAGACCTAAAGGACAGGGAAATAAAGGTAAGATGATTTTTCTTTTGTTACAATCCCAGTGAATCGTTATAATTATTTAATTAATCTGAAAAATGTCTATAGGGAGTGGGGATATTCATTTGACAACTTTTATTTAGTAAATGATTCATTAGGCTACACCAATGAAATTCTGCAATTTGTTCACATTTCTAATAAACTTGAATTACCTAAATGTTTTGCCATTTTCTTTATTTCTGCCATCAGAACAAATAGGACTAATCGACTATTCGAATGACGTAGGTTCTTTATTATTTTCTTTTGCCTATTGATTTTCCAGTTCAGATATTAAGTGTCTCAAGTACCATTCAACTTTAATTAGGTTTGATATAATTGCATATTTTTTCAGTTCATCTTAGCATCTAAATTAAATTAAATTAAGGAAATTCATAAAAAGATTTTCATTTCCTTTTCATTCCATTCCTTGAAAGCTCAGGAGGAAGGCATTTAGATTAGAGTTTAAATTTGAAAAGAAGTGGAACACATAGGCTGGATACATGGGCTGGATCTCTGTTTGGTTTGGACAGTTTTTCTTCAGCATCCCCTTGTTATGCATTTTACATTGATCAGGATATATCTAAAGTTGAGTGTTTTGAAGAAGAATGATGGGGTTTTGTAATTTCAGGGAGATAAGAGAATGTGAAAGGTGTTTCAATCTTTTTTTTAAGCTAACTTACAGTTGAAAACTTTTGTTTTTAAAAATAGCATTCCAAAGACTTCTGTGGTGATTTGGTACAGTTGTCATTTTGCTTTCTGATAGCTTAAGTAAGCCATTTTTGTTCTTTTTATTTATTTGTGGATGACCATTGTAAACTTTTATCCTTGAATTCTAGTAACTAAAGTCTGTGCATGGGTTTGGCCTTGTGTAGATAAAAAGAAAGCTGTACAAGACCAGAAAAACCTTGCATAAACATTTAAGATTATACACAGTAAACACTGTGTCAACCAAAACTGTGTGATATAAGTGTGCACATCACTGAAATGATAAATTCCAACAGGGTTTGCTATCAGACATTTCTTACAGTTCTTTGCCAATAGTTCTTTAGAGCTATTAACATTGATAGGATCCATCACAATAAAACACTTTCAAGTTTGAAGGATGAAACGAAGAAATGATTATGATATCTTTTTTCTGGAATACACTCAGTCATCTCAGGTTGGTTTATTTCTCAGCACAAGGATGCATAAATGTATTGTTTAAACATTTCCATGTCAGAAGTATACAGAAATAATTTCTATAAATTCCCTATAGTCCATACTTCTTGTTTTAAAGATTATTCCCCAGACGATTTACATAAGGTTAAAAAACACCACAAAACTGAAAAAAACTCATTAAAATAACATCAAATAGTAAGAAAGATGTGATGCCTAAAAGTGTTATGAAACATTAGACAGTTGAAAGTTTTATACATTTATGCAAAAGATACATATGCTGATAATATTTTAGAGAATATTTTGCATATGCGTTAAACCACAGGATTGACGCAATGAATTGAAAGCAAAGCTGTGTATTTTGTCTTTCAGACACTGGTAATTGAACTGAATAAATTAAAACACTGTTAATAACATGGTTGTACACAGTTTATAATATTATAAATTAAGATGGCAACTAGTAATGTTCTTGTTTTAATCATTCATGGTTTATGACAAGGTCTTGGCAGTTTATTATTATTATTGCTCTGAACATATTTGTACAGCTCATTTACAAGTAAAAGACCTAAATATATTAAAATGAGTTATTAGCTTCATTATACTTTATATAATTATTTGCTTTTAATAATTGATAAAAATATATCTATAGAATCAATGTCAGATTGCTTATATTAGAATTCTCAATAAAATCCTGAAATGTCTGTTAATCTGATATTGCATTGCACAGCGCATTTTGCTTTAATTTTTAAAATAAATTGCTAATAGAAGTAAAACCCATTATTTATTTAGTATTTATTCAGTTTATATGCCAGTTAAATTATTGAGGTAACTATGGTTGATTACAATATATTAAAGCAATAAACCAAGGAGCAAACAAGATTTTTTTAATTATATTTTTTTTACTATATTATGGAAAGAAATACCAAGAACTAAGGAATGCACTGTATTTATTTGTATTTGTAGTTCTTTTAAATTAAATAAGCATGATTGAACTTCATGATGATAGTCAAAATATCTTCCAGTGAAACAGGATGCCACACCTTTACATTCTATATATATTAATTTTATCACTGAATATTATATTGAATTAATAGTAAGTGTGCTTTCTACTTTGTGGTTTAGATTTTTAACAGCTAAATTTCAATTAGGGAGTAAATTAATCAGACTTGCAATATTTTTTGTTCCAAAATTTGTTCTGAGACATACCAGTTATTGATTTGATATTTTTTAAAAAATATTTTTTTAGTTCTTATGAGCTAGTAGAATATGTTCGTGTTCGTGTTATATGGCATAGTTGATTCCTGTAAGGTGAATCACAGGATAAACTACTGTTGTCTTTCTCTGAAATACTTGGTAGAGAATTGTGCCTTTCTCTAAAAATTGTATCGCACATTTACATCTTTTTCTTTTGCTTACTCTGTCAGATATTCTATTAGAATGAATTGTACCAATTTTGGTATGTACTTGTTTTGAATATTATTAATTTTAAAGTTAGTGTTTGCACTTGCAATATTATGTGACTTATATTTTTGACTTGTGGTTTTTAACAAACCCAATTGTTTTTTTCCTTTCAGTACAGGAATTGTGCAAAGTGATGTAAATCATGTTAGAAGATTCAATGTTTTGAACAGAGAAAAAACTTTTAGGCTGTAGTTTACAAAAATATATGTAGAAAGAATTTAAGAAAAAAAGTCTAATGAAGAAAATATGAAATTGAAAGTATGTTAGAAATAGAATTTTAAAGAAACTAATAAAATGAAAATGTGATTCTTGAGTGTCATGTAGGACTGCAATAAAGCTTATTGTGGAGTCTTGGGTGCTGTCTGAGATTGGTTGTTTGCTTGCCGTTGTTTCATTGCCCAGTTAAGTAATACCATGAGTGCACTAGGTACTGGCACTGATGATGTTATCTAGTCAGGTAATGAAACATCTGCAAACAAACAACCAAGCTCAGAGACCATTAAGGACTCCACGGTTCAACCCTGAGCTACAGATATTGTGTTGATATCTGTATTTATATCCATTTTGTAACCCAAATATTAGGCACATTTTTGTCTTCTCCAAAATTGGCTATTTGTGACAGAAAAGAGAATACTTAATGGTGATGTATATTAAAAGGATAAGTAACTTTATTACAGACTACCAAGCTTATCAAAACAAAAGGTGAGATACGTTGGATATATAGCTCAACAATCTGCTTTCAATAGAATATTAGAGCAGAGTATAAATCTGTTAGCATAATCATTGTAATAAGGGGATGCAGTACCTAATCTATAAACTAGATTGCCAGTTGAGTGGTTATAGTTATATATTTGTGAATTCTTTTATTGACAAGTTAAATTGTAAACCTTAATATCCATTCTGGTTACCAGGAATTCAGTGTATAAATAAGCACTACCTTTTGAAAACATTTTTCCTTCATTTTAAGTTTGGAATTAAAATGTTCTAATTTTTATATAAGGATTTGGCAGATTGCTATCTAATCCCTACCTATACCTTTAGTATGCCTTCAGTGCAATCTCACTTTTTAAAAAAATCATTGTTGCTTGTTGCTAGAAGTGGAAACCAAATAGAACACTTGGAAATATTGAGAATATACGGTATATCTGTCTTGAAATTCTCGTTTATGCATTGTGATGTCTTTGTAGAGAACAGGCAGACATGGAACAATACACAGGCAGATTATTAAAGCCACATTTATAGGACCAGTTACTTTTATATTATAGTTTTTATGGTTCAAATTCATTGGTATTGGCTTTTTTAAAAATCAGTTTTTGTCATATTACTTCAAGCTACATTTGAAGTAATATATAGGAAATCCGGCCATTTGTCCATCTAGGTCAATATTGTATCACTGAATTTCAATCAGGAATTTTACATAGTGATTGTGTGATTGAGTCTGAGATTACTTATGTATAAAGCAAGTAGAAATACTTTTTAATACAAGCATTTGCTGATTTCATTTTTGAAATAAAGTTATTGTAGATATATGTTGGAATGTCGCTGTACTAGAAAGTGAATTTTAACAGCAAAGCTGGATTTTTTGCTGTTATTCAATCTATTTCAGTATAGAAAAATTAAATTGGCTGCTTTCAGTAAGCCATTCATCTATTCTCTCTCTTACGAACGTAAGGGAAAAATGCAATCATGGTATACTATACAAGGTAATTAGATAACTTAGTATACATATAAAGTGCTGTATAACACTAAACAGTGTTTAGTTAAAGACCAGATCAGTGCTGTAATTGCACTTCTTTATGAATCCATTGAAGGTCTCTTGTTCTGATATACATACTTCTCCAAATTAGTTTGTTTTCATTAGGGCTGTCTTACAAAAAATATTTCAGGCTTACTTTTTTTTTCTTGCTTTATATTCTAATCCGTGGCCATTGAAAGTGTAAAGCTCACCCTTCCACCTTCTATTTATGTAATATTTTCCCATTTCCATCTCTTTTCTGGATGATCCTATAAATACAGAGTGCCAACCCTTTGCAGCTTTTTGATTTAAGGATTCCACAATACATGCATGTTACCTATTATGATTTATTTTAAAATGTTATGATTTCCATTAGATGTTCACAGTGACACACAATGCTTTTATGTTATTTCTAATTTTAGTTGCATTTCAGTTTCAGTGCAAAACGGTTCGATTCATCAAAAGGATGCAGTAAATGATGATGATTTTGAGCCATATCTGAGTAGCCAGACAAATCAGGCAAGTATTTACCAAATTATTACATTTCTTGGAGCTCTGTAATAAGTAATAAAATAGATTGCTTTAATTATCTAATAACAATAAAACATAACTTTTCAAAGATTTCATATCCCATTTACCTTATTTTGTGGAGTATAAGACACACCAAGATTTTGAAGAGGCAAATTAAAAAAAAGTTTCTTCACTCTGCAGACCTCCCAAAAAACGGGCCCATTTTCCCCCCAAAAGGGGCATGAATAGCCTTTAGGAGGCTTGTAGAGTGCTCTGGGGGGGGGGGAATGTAAACCGAGCAAAAAATAGCCCGTTTTTCACAAAAACGGGCCCGTTTTTTTGTCAAAAAAAAGGGGCATGCATAGCCTTTAGGAGGCTTATAGAATGCTCCTGGCGGCTGGGGGGGGGGGCAAAAAACGGCCCATTTTTTGCTCATTTCTGCCCTCCCCAGCACCCAGGAGCATTCTGAAAGCCTCTTAAAGGCTATGCATGGCCATTTGGGTGAAGGGGGTGGGGTTTCGGGAGGCAAAAAATGCTGTATTCAGTGTATAAGACGCATCCAGATTTTCGGCCTCTTTTTGAGGGAAAAAGGTGCATCATACTCTGAAAAATACGGGACTTATAAAACATTGCTGCCTTTTTGGTACATGCCAATGAGTTAACTTTATTTTTCCTTAAATTCTTTTACAATCTAAATACAAAGGGTATACCTTGCAGTGGACATGGATGGGAAACTAGCTTAGTTAATACACATTTCTTGTGGCCATTTTCATTCATATAATACTCTAAGCAGAAGAGCATTTTTAAAGTTATACATTATATTTTCAAAGAGCATGGTTAATTTTATTTTTTTAATGAAAAATAAAAACAATGGGAGGGAGGAGTTTGAAGCCTTGATTAATTCTTGCCTGAATTATTAACCAGAGCTGTCTAGCTAGTCTTAATTAAACTCATGGGGTGCTTCTGTTGTTTTCTTCTTGCTCTACAAAGGTGGCTATTTAACAAAGGCCATAGGCAAAGATAAGGATAATGAACCAGGATTTGCATATGTATATGTTTAGTTATTCTATTCTAGCTCAACCCTATTGTCATTAGACGTTTCGCTGATATATTATAGAATTTTTTTCTCTCAAGCAGCTGCAAAGAACTAACTTAAGGCCTTGTTTTTCCCTGAAAAATTCTTAATTTGCTTCCACTGAAGTTCTGGATGTTTCAGTGTAGCAGAAGTCAAGGAAGTTTTTTTTCATCCAGGTTTGCCTAAGGCAGTAGGAGCAAAACTATATGTGTACAATAGAGAATTTGATGGCGTGGTCTTCTGAATGTCTTTTCCTGTGATTGTCTCTGCTGCCTTCTGTAACTTCCAGCTTGGGGTTGCAGTTTTATTGCTTATTATTGCTAGTTGAGCATCATAGCAAGCAGTATGTATTCAATTATAAATATTTGATTTTTAACACTAAACAAATGCCAATTTAAATGCTATTTAATATGCATAGGATATTTATATAATTCTGACAAACAGAATTAGAATGTTCATCTGCCAATCAATGTATAAGCTTTCAGTTGCAGCCACGTTTTCTGTCATTAGTTTTTGTCTCCTACTTCATCAGGACTTATCACATGGTATCAGTAATACAGAGAGTCCTTATATTTGGAATTGGCAACTTCGTTGCTAAGCAATATGGTTATTCAATGAGATATCACATGATATCTCATGTCTTATGACTTTACTGCCAGTGTCTCCTTTGACTCTGGTTGTCAGAAGCCAGCTGTAAAGCCCTGAAATGATGATCACATAATTGCTGCAATGGTGGTAAACAGCCACTGGTTGTGAAGAACCCAAATGATGCAGTGGTCAGTTGTAAAAATACTTTCCAGTATTGTTGTAGAGATCTATTGGACACAGTTCTAGAAATCATACCTGGAATCTTGTGCAACAATGCTAATATCTCACAAGGGTTTGTGATAAGAGCATTTCAGACGTTGTGGGAACTTTGCATGCCTTGTTGCGTATGATTAAATTTTGGCTTACTGTTTTCCTGGTGAAAGTCATAGTTAAAAATCTGGAAGATGTTGAAATGTTAAAATATGTTGAGTTTTTTTCAATGCAAAAAAGTTTTTTGTGATGTGTGCTTGTGACGAGACAATTGTATGTGTTTCTGCCCAGGTAGTAGGTGATTTGAGCATTATATTTGCATTGGAATACAAGAAACATTAATTCATATGATAGTTTTTTAATATGATGGTTTGAGTGCGCCAATAAAATGGCCTTAAATTTCATTCCCAATTAAACAAGAACTAGGCTTGAAATTGTCCCTTCCATCCTAAGATAGCTAGTTAGCTAGCTGTGTGTAAGTGATATGATTAATTATTTATACTTCAGGTCAATGTTGTTTTACGCAAATTTTTAGTTTATGCAAATCCCTGCCATATGAGGGCTCAAGAATATCTGTGCTTAACACAAATATTACCTTTCCCGTTTTATTTTCCTCTAAGTTGGTAAAATATTGAAAATAAAGCACGTAAAATAAACTATTGTGCTTGTTTTAATTTTTCTGCCATTGTACAATAAAAATATTTAGGTCGAATGAACAGAACAAGGCGTATAAAATTCAGAGATTTTGGGTCAATTAAGCTTGCAAAAAGTCCTGTCCTGCCTATGCATTTTACTTAGTTATGTATATTCTTGGAGTCTCAAATTTTGTTCCTTCTCAGGAGTAAGAAATAAATGGTGTTCCATAGCTTGATCTCTTATTGCTATCTTTCCGTAGTGAACTTAGTAGCATCTTAACATGAGACATAGTGAATTCAAACATACTGAAGGTACTAAAGTCTATTCATATTACATAAATAAAACTCTTACCATGTATAGCCTGATTTAAGATGAAGAAAACCACAGGAAGAAGGCAGGAGCCCAGTTAGAAGGAATAAAATAAAATGGCATCGGGAATATTCTTAGATGTTGGAGGTGCATCAGTGCCAGAAGATGTGCAGATTCTCTCTTTAGAAAGCAATATCGGTGTAATTAAAATTAACCACTGTGAAGCAGTTTTAACTATTCAGTAATTATATTAACCACTGTTATATATTTGGTTTTTAGGGGTTTTATTCCATGTCTTTTAATGTGAAAATATTTTTCCTGTATTTAAGTTTTAGGTTTATGGTTTATTAGATTTATATGCCAAGGACTAAGTTTTGGGACATGAACAGTATTAAATATTCTTAAATTTGGATTTGTAACAAATGAACATTATAAATGCAGCATTAAAGTTTAATTATTATTATTATTTTTCTTCTTCTGCAGAGTAATAGCTATCCACCAATGTCAGACCCATACATGCCTAGTTATTATGCTCCCTCCATTGGTTTTCCATACTCTCTGGGTGAAGCAGCATGGTCCACAGCTGGAGATCCTCCAATGCCATACTTGACAACTTATGGACAGATGAGCAATGGTGAACACCACTATATTCCCGATGGTGTATTCAGTCAACCTGGGGCTTTAGGGAATACTCCTCCGTTTCTTGGTCAGCATGGATTTAATTTTTTTCCTGGAAATGCAGATTTCTCTACATGGGGGACAAGTGGATCTCAGGGGCAATCAACCCAAAGCTCTGCTTATAGCAGCAGCTATGGCTACCCACCCAGCTCTCTCGGTAGAGCTATAGCCGATGGACAGGCTGGATTTGGCAATGATACTTTGAGCAAGGTACCTGGAATTAGCAGCATTGAACAAGGTATGACTGGATTGAAAATTGGTGGTGAAATGACAGTTGCTGTAACAAAAACAGTTGGATCAGCTCTAACCAGTACAGGTATGACCAGCATTGCAGCAAATAATGTGCCTGCAGTTAGCAGTTCAGCACCTAAACCAACCTCGTGGGCTGCCATTGCAAGAAAGCCTGCTAAGCCTCAGCCAAAACTTAAACCTAAAGGTAATGTGGGAATTGGGGGCCCTACAGTACCGCCACCACCTATAAAACACAACATGAATATTGGCACTTGGGATGACAAAGGGTCGGTGGTAAAAGCTCCTCCAATCCAACCAGTACTGCCTCCTCAGACTATAATTCAACAGCCTCAGCCTTTAATTCATCCACCTCCTATGGTGCAAAGCCAGCTGCCGCCGCCGCAGCAGCAACAGCAGCCGCCACCACAGTCACAACAGCCTCAAGGACCTCAGCAACAGGCTCAGCCTCATCAGCTGCAGCAGCAGCAACAGCTGCAAAATCGCTGGGTGGCTCCTCGCAATAGAGGTGTAGGCTTCAATCAGAGCAATGGAGCTGGCAATGAAAACTATGGTATAGGTGTTATACCAGTTAGCTCTTCACCATCTGGTGTAGAAGTACACCCAGTTTTGGAAAAATTAAAGGCCATAAATAACTATAATCCCAAAGACTTTGACTGGAACCTGAAGAATGGTCGTGTGTTTATAATCAAAAGCTATTCAGAGGATGATATACATCGTTCCATTAAATATTCTATCTGGTGTAGTACTGAACATGGTAATAAGCGCTTGGATGCTGCATATCGTTCACTGAATGGAAAAGGCCCACTCTATTTACTTTTCAGTGTGAATGGCAGTGGACACTTCTGTGGAGTAGCTGAGATGAAGTCGGTGGTGGACTACAATGCGTATGCTGGAGTGTGGTCTCAGGATAAATGGAAGGGGAAGTTTGATGTTAAGTGGATCTTTGTTAAAGACGTTCCGAACAACCAGCTGCGGCACATTCGCTTGGAAAATAATGACAACAAACCAGTTACCAATTCAAGGGACACTCAAGAAGTACCCCTAGAAAAAGCCAAGCAAGTGCTTAAAATAATTGCTACTTTCAAGCATACCACCTCAATCTTTGATGACTTTGCACATTATGAAAAGCGTCAAGAGGAGGAGGAAGCCATGCGTAGGGTAAGAGATCATAATACTTTTTCCTGGATTGGCAGATTGATTATTAAAAATGGAGTTGCTTGTAGAAATTGATTTAAGGTGGATAATTCCACCTTAACAGATTTAGGTGAGAGTTATAAAATATTCTGGGCAACATGTTTGTTGCTGTCTGCATTAAAATTTAAATATCCTAATTTTAATTTAGAGCTGTATTAATAAGCTGCAAGGTCAAATATTTAATAGTAGTTATGAGGTTCTGTGTCTTAATATAAAGTATTTAAGTTGTAATAGACACTGAGGTGTACAAAAAAGAAATCCTTTACTAGCACTATTGCTGGTTAAAAAAATAATACAAAATAAAAATATATTTCAAAAAAATCAATAAAATCATTTCTGAACAATTCCTTTTACCCCTATTCCCTCAAAAGCATTATAATTTGTATCCAAATTGATTGCAGACTAGGAATGGACAATCTACAACTCAGCTAAACCAATTAATGGAGTCTGAGTTCACGCTGGCAGAATTCAGCAGGAAGTAAGGAAACAATAGTTTTGAGATGCTTAAGGCACGCATTTTCATCCTTTAAATGTCTTGAATTACACAAAATCTTGAGCTAGGTTTGGAATTGAAAGGAAACAAAGAGTTCTGGTGGAATCACACCTGTTGGACGCAGTGTTTGTGACTTAGAAAAGTTCTCTGTCTTGTGTTTTTCCATTCTTGGATTGTTCTGAGAAGGCTAAAGGAATCAAACTGGGTAAAGCAATAAATACCTTTCTTTTGATTTGGATCTAAAGCCTCTTAGCCATCCGAATTTAACTTGTTCTTCCTTGGATTATCTGCAAGTAAGGATGTTGCTTTAGACACATGGCTTATTATCAAAACACTTTGTGGAGACAAAAACCCCTTTTTTTAGTTTAAAAAAAGACTGAACTGTAATTCATTTATTTGACAGTAAGCCAAGACCATTTGAAAGGTTATTAAAAATTTCTTGCAGCTTTTGTGGACAAAATTGCTTAGGTTTGACAGAAGCTAGATTTCTGGCTCACACTAGTAGTAGAGGTGATTGAAGTCTTGTCTTGTGAAATGATCTGGGATATTTTGAATTTATGTCTCGGAAAGCAGATCTTCTACAGCAGGAGTGTCAAACTCAAGGCCCGGGGACCGGATCCAGCTGCAGAGTAGTTAAATGTGGCCCGCAGGGCTGCTCTGGAAACAGGGAAGGACTGCCCTGCAGTGCCTCTGCCAGCGAAAACAACTCGGGAGGGCTGTGTGCGGCCCTCTTGAGCTCCGTTTTCACTGGCAGAGGGTTGCAGGAGGCCGTCGCAGCTGAAAACTGAGCTTGGAAGCCTTTTTTCGCTGGAGAAGCGCTTGGGCCTCCACAGGTGGTCCTGATATGAATGATGTGCTGCCCATGCCCACCTGTCCACACCAATCCCCGCCCCCCAAGGTCAAACACACCTCTGATGTGTTCCTCAATGAAATCAAGTTTCACACCCCTGCTCTATCTACAGTGTTACTTTCATCACTTTTCAGTAAGAACCCTGCTCCTGCTGGCTATGACTTCCTGTGAAATGGCAAAAGGTTGGATCTGGCAGTAATCAGTAGTTTCTGGAGATGGTTGTAGCATACCTCCAGTTCAAGAAACATTGGCTCAGTACGACTTTATACCTATTTCCTTAGAAAAAAGGGGTGATCTTAACCATTTCTCCTAGAGAAAGTAGATTATTTATATCTTGGTAGTCAGGATTCAGTTTGTAATATAGTAAGTAAATTGCATTGGATATGCTTGCTGATGAGTGCAATCCTCTGAGTCCTCCTTGAACTTGGGAATTTTGGAGTTTTCCTAGCTTCACAATTCTTGCTTGAAGAGCAAGTAGTAGTGATGACTAGCATAGATTTTGCATAGTTAAATGTACTAATTGCAACCATTTCTAGACTGAGAAGCCCTACTCATATATAGGTGCTTACATCCTAATCCAGCGATGGCAAACCTTTTCTGGCTTGCGTGCCATAAGTGGGGGGAGTGCAGGGGGGTCGTTGTGCGACCCCCCAGTGTGCATGCGTGCACTACAGGCACAACCCCCCATTTTTTTGCATTCTTTTCTTACCCTCCCCAGGTTCCAGGGACTTTATAGGAGCCTGGGGAGGGCGAAAACAGCCTCCTGTGGATGCCTTCGGAAGCTTCAGGGACGCTTCTCTGAAGCCTCTGGAGCAGTCAAAGTGACCCTCCAAGCAAAGCAGAAGTCACTTCCGGTTTGCTCGGAGGGTCGTTTTGAGCGCTCCGAAGCCTCCTGAAGGTCCCTGAAGCCTCCACAGGGCGTCCGGGGGAGGCTGTTTTTGCCCTCCCCAGGGTGTACTGTGTGGTCTTTTTGAATGATACTGGCAACACTAAGGTTGAAGTGGAGACCCGGGCTGCTAACAGGTTGTTCATAGTGGAAAGGTAGGCAGGTAGAGGAGAAATTGCAGTATCCCCATGGTTATAAGAACAGGTTCACTGACAAGCAACAAAATTTTTATCATGAGATTGCAGGGACACCTACCTCAATGGTCATAACTTCAGACATAGTTTTTAACTCTGTTCAGTGCTGTTACAATTTCAAATGGCTCCTGAACAACCATTCATTCGTTAAGACTGATGCTGATTTTCCCCTGGCAGGCCCTATATGGCTAAAGATCTGGTTACCAGGGGTACTGATTTTTCTTGTACTCATCTGTACATCAAACCAGATGAAATACAATATATTCCCTCCCTTTCCCATCCCTATGAGTGTCACCTGATGGAGCTTTCGAAATGGGTCTCTTGAATAGCCCTAGCCCATGCGTGGAACTCCTTCCCAACAGAGAGATGACTTGCTTTATTGCTTTGGGGCTTTAGAAAATTGTAAAGGCTACCTGTTTCACCTTGCCCAAGAGGGTATACTGTAATTGAAGGTTGGGTTCATGGATATATGAAATTTTTATTTTTGATATTTTATCTTTTTGCCTTTATATTTTTAAATGTGCTTCAGAGTTATTTTTAACCACCTGGAGCCTTTGAGAATGTATCACATGTAAACAAAATAAATAAGAAATAAACAATATAGTGGATCTAACTTCTAACTATGTATAATATTTTAAAGTATTAGACTTGTAAAATTACCTATGCATAAAGTAGTGTTATAGAATCTTGAAAATATAGTTTAAATGTTTGCACATTTATGTTAATTGCTATAATGTGAAATATTCCTTATAAAATGTGTCGGTGTGATAAACCAAAGCTTATATTGTATGTGCTTAATTAAATCCAACCCAGCGCTGAGTCTTATTACATGATGTAACCATTGTAGGCTAGCGTAGAACAAGACTGAAATGTATTGCTTTTTGCAATGAAAGATGAATAAAGGGTGGTTGTCCATTGGAAATTTTGAATATAAGCCCCAGATAGGACTTGAATCTCCTTGCCAACTTCATACTTTTCCCATTTGATATGCTTTTAAAAACTTGGAAAAATATAATATCAGCAACAGAGAATTGCTGAGAATTCATAATGCTTTAGCTTTTGTAAGTCCGTTTACTACTGAAAAAGTAGTGAAGTAGAAAAGTAACAATAATAAGCTAATCTGTTGATAAATGTATTCATTAAGTGGAAAAATTAGTTTTCAATATGGAAATACTAGATAATTATTTAACCAGAATAATGTCTCACAAATTTTAGTTAGCTATGACTTTGGTCATTTTGGAAGGAAATCTGGACTATAAAATATACCTGGAAAATATTAGAGTGGGATATTCTCTTAAACTAGGTAGTTTAAAAGATAAGTATTCTAATTCCTTAGTTAAAAGTAGTCACTGCAAATGGAATTCTGAAAAAAACAACTATATTGCCTTGAAATTATATTTGTCAGTGGAGAGGATTGATGGAAGCTATTCACAAACTGATGGTTATTAATTGGAGTTATTTTAGAGAACACCAGTATCCATAGGGGAAGTGAAGGAGGTCCAGAATGGCAAGATGATACTAGTAGCAGTATGATCAAAGCTCTACTTCTGTTGTATGTGTGCCAGCATTGCACACATGACAAGCAGAGGGGCTTCATTAACCTGCTGCAACTGCCATTAGGCCTTTTTTGATTTGGTCTCTCCTCATGGACACTGATGATTGCAGATCACCATTGTAAAAGCCAACCACTGTTAAATTGAGATTCTTATTAATATTCTAAATGAATTAACAATATGAAATGTTTTATTCTTTCCCAAAATTTTAGAACAGCCTAATAAAGGCTTGACCTTTTAACTGAATTGCTATTTTTCTTTAGACTCTGTCCATATGCATTAGGTGGAAAATATATCGTGTTATATTTGTTAATATAAACAAATATTTAGTTGTTGAAGACCAAAGCAATTCTCCCATCATATATTTGTTTTTGAAAAACTGACCAATCTGGTTTATTGATAACGGAACCAGAACTTTGTGCAATTGGTTGTGCTAATTACTGTGTTGTGATTTTTTTAAAAAAGACTGAATCCAGATTTCACATACTGAATTAAATGGGTCCTTGTACTGGCAGAGGAAATTCCTCATTGTAGATAAGGAGCAGATCATTGATTATTTTTGTGGATTCCTTCTTCTCCATATACCTTATTTTCATAGATGATCCCTGCATTTCCAGATTTTGGGAGGCTACAGGGGAAGGAGGTTGTTTTGCCTTCCAACTATGAGGTATTTCAGTTTGCAGATAAGTGCTCTGAATAATTTTGATGCATAATGAAAGTAAGAATTCAGGGCTCTGAGAAAATAAAACTAGTCTTGAAAAGAAAATTTGTGCATATAGTTTTTTTTTCTAAATATGCGAATGAGATGGGAGTTGTTTTTCCCCATTATTTTGCTAGCTAACAAATTGCCTTTTGGAATGAGAAACTTTTTTTAATAGAATACCACTTTTTGAATCCCAATCTGTTAACACATATACCTTTTAATAAGCTTTTGAATGGCTAAGAAAATAATTCTATAATATTTGGTATCACGCATTTCTGCGTTGAGTAAAAAATTAACAGTGCCCTATATATATATAATTTAAAGAAATCCAAATTAATCATTGAAAAATGCTTAATAAAAATTGGTTTCAACTAGATACTTGGTTAACAGTTGCAACCTAGGCAACTTTTATGGAAAATTATGTATTGACTGTTTTACATTCAGTATGAATAAATTATGCAACAAGCAGCATAGAATTTGGCTGATCTACTGAAATTATAAATGCAAAACAGATTGCACTATGTGAACGTCTGTATAAAGATACCTATTTTTATTTGACATTCTGTAACCATGTTTCATATAACAGACTGTATATTTAAATAGAATATAGGATTAGATGTTCACAAGGTAGCATACTTGTTTCTCTACTGTATTTTTGCAGCATGTATTATGATTGAATTTACTATTGAATGAATTTTTTCCGCTTCAGAAACAATGTTATGATAAACTCTGACAGTGCTACATATTGTGAATTATGTTATAAGATATTCAGTATCTACAGGAAACATACTACTCTATTAGAAACACTTGAAAATGATATTTATCACAGAAAGAATCCCAAAGCTTATCTCTGAAAGTTTTCCCATTAACTTTGCAAATGAAAAACATGGAGTTGTATCTAATAGACTACCGTATTTTTTGGAGCATAAGATGCACCTTTTTTCCTCAGAAAAGAGGCTGAAAATCTGGGTGCGTCTTATACACTAAATACAGCATTTTTTTTTGCCTCCTGAAACCCAGTCCCCTTCATCAAATGGCTGTGCATAGTTTTGGAGGCTTTCAGAAAGCTCCTGGGGGCTGGGGAGGGCAGAAATGAGCAAAAAAATAGCCTGTTTTTTGCTCAATTTTGCCCCCCAGACCCCAGGAGCACTCTGTAAGCTTCCTAATGCCTTTTTTTTTTAACAAAAAGGGGCCTGTTTTTGCAAAAAACAGGCTGTTTTTTTTCTCATTTTTGCCCTCCCCCCAAGGAACACACTACAAGCCTCCTAAAGACTATTGATGCCCTTTTTTGAAAAAAAAAAACGGGCCTGTTTTTGTGAAACATGGTGTGGTATTCTGCAACGGTACTCTGGTGCATCTTATACTCAGAAAAATACGGTAATTCCATTTACCACAGAATGGATCTTGGTCTCTTATTTTTCTGATTAGATTTATTTGGGAATTGGGTTCTTTTTATTTATCTAGTCAATTTATATAATTGGTCATCTCACTTTGCAAACAGTTTAAAATAAACAAAACCTCAAACTATATAATAATAACACACAGCTATCAGGAATGATTTAACTTATCATCATTACAACCAGGAGATAGGCTCTAGCCCATGCCCAGGTGGAAATCCAAGTTTTCAAGGCCTTATAAAAAGCCTACAGGGACAGTCTAATCTTAGGGGGAATGATGTTCCAAGGGTGCTGCAGCAGAAAAGATTCTTGCCTCACCTAGCTGACAGTATCTTGAGCATACCCTTCCGTGAGAACCAGCAAAAACAATTGGGGAGAGATGGTCTCATAAGTCACCTCGTCCTAAGGCATGAAGAGCTTTAATGGTGATAACCAGAACCTTGAATTGCAGAAGCACATTGGAAGCTGATGCAGCTTCCAGAGTAGTGGCGTCACATGTGCCAAGTAACTGACACCAGTAAGTGCCTGTGATGTTGCATTTTGTACCAGTTGAATCTTCCAAATATTCTTCAAGGGCAGCTCCACATAAAACACATTGTAGTAGTCCACTCTAGATAACAAAATAACATGTTTGACCATGGGCAGCCACTTCTCTGGTGTAGGAATGTGTGCAACTAATAATAACCCTTAAGGTTGCAGAGGCCCTCTTAACCATGGCTGCTTCCTCCTATTCAAGCAGGAACTGTGAGTCCTGGAGAACCCAGTTCCCAGTTGGCACAGAACCAAAGATGGAAGGACCCATGAACTAGGAGATCCAAAATATCAGAGCCACTCAGTCTTGCTTAAGTTGAGCTAAAGCCTCTTTTGCCCCATCCAGAGCCCCACATTCTCCATGCCCTGAGAAGAGCCTCCATGGCATTACTTAGACATCCTCGTGTAGAGATATAAAGCTCAGCCCAAACTGTCAGATGACATCATCCAATTTCATAGATTATAAACAAGAGAAGAGGCAGTATTTGATCCCTGAGGTGCTCCACAGAGGAGAGTCCACCACCACTGTATCTTTTCCCTCCTACCAATATTAACTGAGACTTATCCTGGAGGAAGGAAGAGAGCCAGCATCTTCCAAAAGCAACCACCGTCTCTAACCTTCCTTAGAAAGGGAAGTACGAAAACTGGACAAAAATTATTCAAAATTCTGGGGTTTAATGATACCCTCCCTTTAATATAATTTTATTGAAAGTTTTAATACAAACTAAAATAAAGAAAAAGAAGAAATAAAAAAGCTAACATGCAAAAAAAAAAGAAGAAAAATAGAAAAGTGAGAAAAAAGATATAGTGGTTTTCTATTTTTCTTTAAAACAGTTATAAGTACAACTGTAGATTTACCTCATTATAAACTTATATCATTGCCTCTTTTCTTTCTATAATCTATTCTGATGTTCAAAAGCATAGATTTTTTTTCTGTTTTACACAAAAGTCCATAAGGGATTTTTAATCTGCAATAAATATAGGTATTATCTTTTTTCTAATCAAACAGGTCAATTTGGCCATCTCAACAAGTTTTTATCAACTTCGCCAACCACTCCTCAACTGTAGGTATTGCCAGATATTTCCATGTTTGTGTATACAATAATCTTGCTGTGGTTGGGTCTAGCGATGGCCCCTTGAGACAGCAGAACTATCTACCTCCTCAAAGAGAAATTAACAGCTGCCAGAACCCAACCACGTCCCCCCTCTGGAGGTTGTAATCAGCCAGGAGGAACATGGATCTAACACAGAAGTGCTGCATAATAACCCCAAGGGTTGTGTTCATTTCCTCAGGCTTATTGAAATCAAATTTGCCTCAGATATCCAAGCTGGACCCAGCCGCAGTAGCTTCCACATAATCTGATTAAGGACAGAGTCTATTTTAGACTGGACTCTTAACATTTATATTATGAAGAGAGGTACCCTTGGTCAAAATATGCAACCTCATATTGGATTGGTTGAGCCATTGTGTTATATGAAAAAAATAATGCCTGAATTTAAAAGATCCTTCACCCAATAAGAATCGGACTATTAACATGTTTCAATACAGTTAAGATGATTTTTCTATTTTAAGGATTTGGATTAAAGTTAATTATTATAGCAAAGGGTTTTTCCCTGTGCTCTGACTTTCTGTTTAAGGTGAAAAAGAGCATCAATAAATACTCTATTCATTCTATGATTAATGGCCCTACTTTGATAAATAATACTTATAATAATGAATACCATCATGGTCTTAGGCCTATACAGAAAATTAAAGTGATACGAAATATACATTACTATGGAAGAGTGGTTTATGCTTTGATAAAATACTATAGACTTATTTTTCTTAAAATATTGGATAGAATTTTCTAAACTAACAAGTTCAAATTTTATAGGTTGAGAAATGATTTTGCTTTCATGTTTTGATAAAGGTTAGTTTGTTTTTATGAAGCACTTGTAATTGAAGAGTTGGTGTGTTCTCCACTGTATAGAACTTAAGTATTTTGTGATAATGCTTTAATGATTTTCCTTTTTTTTCTGTCCTGCAGGAGAGGAATAGAAACAAACAATAACTATATGGAGATTATCCTTCTAGAATTACAACACTAATGATGTAGACTCTGGAAATGCCTAATATGTCTAAGAAGACGTTATTAAAGCTTTGTTCCTGCTTAAGGTGACATCTTTGAACACTTTAACACAAATGACTCTTCTTGTAATGGTTCTCATCAGTGCATCTGCCCTTATACTCTCTCACCAAACACACTTGAGAACTGTAACTTCGTCAAGCACTTTCTGTCCTGAAGCTTTTACCAGTATCTGCTGTCTTTTGTAATTATGCATCCTAGCTAAGGCACAGGAGATGGAACGAATGCAAGGATTCATTAACTCTTTGAATTTGTTAAATACTAACAATTAACCATCATAAGTGGTTCAATGATGTGAGATTCACATTGCTTCAATTTATTTTTCTTTGATGTAGTTTTTTAATTGTCAGGTTTTTTTTAGCTATTCAGCAGAATTTAAAGCAAAATCATGCCATATTTAGTCCTGGAGTAAAATTCAAGTCTAAATGTTCATGTGAAAATTATTGTAGTAAACTTTTAATATGGCAAAGCAACTTTGAGCTACAGTTTAGCCAAATGAATTATAACATGAAATTATATTAGAATGTCATTTCCCTTGTTTCAAACTGTTTGGTGTAGAGAATATTAATATATGCAGCTTGGTGGGCCGCACCAGTTAATGCACATTTCTTTTTTTCCCCCCTGTAACATGTATACCAGAAGAAGTGTGTTTGTCTGAGGAACTGTTTGCTACACTCAATCTCAATTTTGAGTACATGTACCTCAGTCTAAATCAGACTTTTTATGACCTTTATAACAACACTTAAAACCTTTAATTCCTATTTCTGGTGTTTGCAAGCCTGAAAAGATTGCTATCATGGAAGTGAAAATTTATTCCTCGAAGTGATTCACTAGCTAAATAAACATTATTCTTGTTTTAGCAAGCATATATTCAGTTTCTCAGATTTTGTTTGTTCCCAATTCTGAATATAATAGTCTGCTATTTTTTCAGTTCAAAATACTTTGGGAAATAAAACGTTTATTCATGGTTTCAGTTTGTATGCTCTCATGGCTGTGTTTACATGTTACTTATTAGTACTATATAATAAAAGCCTAGGAATCATAATCACCTGAATATGTTCTATGCTACTTTTTAAAATTTATTTTTAAAGTTTACTTGTGCATCAATGTGAGTAGTACTGTTTGAAAACACAATAGTTATATTATCTATGTAAAAAACAGCTGCAGTATGCCATCAAATTGTGTTACGTTTTTAGAAGAGTCGAGGTGAAACAGGTACTCTTCATTCGTTTTAAAACTTGCTATGGTATTAGGATTACATTAGAATGTTCTCCTCCCCTCTCTCCCTCTCTCTCTCTCTCTCTCTCCCTCCCCCTCCCCCTCTCCCTTTCTCCACACACACAAATTGGGTAGATAGTAATTTTGATTTAAAAGGTTTTATTTTTGCCCTCATGCTTGAAGGCAATCTTGTACAGGTAGTTCTCATCTTACAACTGTTTAGTTTAGTTTGTTTGTCTTAATTAAAACAGCAGTGCAAAAAGTGGCTGGCAACCAGTTCTGACACTTACAGCCATTGCAGCATCCCCACAGTCACGTGATCAAAATTCGGGCATTGGCAACTGCCAGCAGGTATTTTATAACAGTTGCAGTGTCCTGAGGCCATCATTTGCAACCTTCCGACCAACCTCCAACAGCAAAGTCAGTGGGAGAAATAAGATTAACGACCGGCCACTGCATGATTTATTTAACTGCAGTGATTTTCTTAATAACCATGGCCAAAAGATCATAAAATCAAATGGAACTCACTTAACAGTTTCCTTGCTCAGCAATAGAAATTCTGGTTTCAATTATAGTCATAAGTTGCGGGCTACTTGAACATATTAAATGTATTGTCCGAGTCAATAGCTTTACTTTTAGAAGAATTTTATGTAAGAAAGGGAAAGAGAAATCATGTCATTCCAACTGGTTAATGCTGCCAAAGATTCTGCTGGATTGAGCTTGCCTTAACCGAAGAAAGGATAATTAATAAAAAAATAAAAATCACCCAGGACGGCATATATTGGACATTATATCACACGGATGAATCTAAAGCTGCTTCCAGTGTGATCCTGACATCACACTTCCTCTGTCACAATCCAAATGGGTCCATTCTGAAGAAAACTTCCACCTTAATTCCATGGGATTGAATCTAAGGCTTTTCTTTACACGCATGGATTTATAATACTTTGAACTCTATGGGGCTTCCTTCTAATAAAGTGATTTAGATATGTATTTCCAAATGAATTAATTTGAAATTAGTTACATATTCTCTAAACCCCAGGCATATATGTTAGAAGCAACATTTTTGGTCCAAGGATATGGTTTGTGGAAGACAATTTTTCCACAGACGGAGCCAGGAAGAGTGTGCAAACTAGATCCCACTATGTGCAATTTTGCTTGCCTGCCACTCACCTCCAGGTGTGTGTCCCGGTTCTGAACAGGCCATGGTCCGATAGTGGTCCATCACCTGGAGGTTGGAGACCCCTGGTCTAGATTACAAAATACATTTAACAATAGTGTCAATTGATGTACCCAGCAAGTATAATTGTACCCACCTATATCTTCACATTATGAAGTCTACATTTTTTTTGAACCATGGTTAAAGTTTATTATATGAACAGAGATCATGCTTGCTGCTTGAGTTAGAAAAACAATGCCTCTGTGTTTGTTTTGATATTATTCCTACAAATGGATTTTTTCCTCATTTTAATAACTGCAAAATGTGCTGATAGAATCTTGGAGAATAACATTTTGTTGTTTTTCAGTTAACATAGTGGCTTTAGAAGACCTACAGTAATTTGAAATAGGCTATCCTAAACTACAATGTACAATATGAATATAGTAATTGTTTTGAATTATGGAAATTGATGCAAAATTATCCAATGTTCTCAACTAAGAGTGTATCAGACAATGAATGCTTGAAATGGATTATTCTATTTATTCTATATCATTTAAAGGATTTTTCTATTATGAGTTCAGAATTTTCAGCTTGGAAGTTGGAACAATGTGTTTCAAAGTAAAATCAACTTTGGAATTTGAAGTATTCCACTCTCATTCACTATTTCATTAGTTGAATATTGGTGTGATTTTGATAAACCTGAAATCAAGTTTCTTAGGCTTATGCAGAAGGACATACAGACCTGAAAAGATGTTATGCTTAAATATGTATATTGGGTGTAAATTTAACAAAATCATACTATAATCACACAGTAAAATTGTCTACCTTATGCTTAAAGTTTAAGTTAACATTTTATAATTAAGGAAGAAATTGCAGAAACTTTTGATGCTGAACTGCATTAATAAGAAAATGTGACCACCACCACCCCTTTGCTAAAACAAAACAAACATGTATTTACCAGCAGATGGCAGTAGAGTAGGGCTTTCAAATTATATTAACAATAAGGCTGAAATATTGTATATTCGGCATCAGGTAAGACATTTTGCTGCCGGATGTCAAAATTAGCAGCATCTGCAGAACAAAGAAGAAATGAATTTGGAGAGCTCCCATCATTTTTTGACCATCATCGCCTTTAAAAGAAATATTTATTCACTGTGGAAGAAATGACATGACCCATATGACATTAGGCACACAGTGTTTCTGAAGAAATATAAACAGATTTCATAAGTTGCAGAGTTAATTGACCTAGCCAAGTTGTTGTTCACTGCCCTCCTTCTATTTGCTCTTGATAGGCCTGCCCATGGATTTGTCCAACTTCCTCCTTTATATTGTCAAGCATTTCCACAATATAAAAATCTTGTATCCAATAAAGAAAACATATAAAACCCTTAGCATCTTCCTGTGAGTTGTTGGGTAGATACTTGGAGAGCAACATAGTCAAGTTCTTCATGAGTTTATAGGTCTAGTGGTTAAATTGGGAGATATGCTCAAGACTATCTGATCCGATTTCTTTGTACGAGTTTCATATTTTAAGGACCAATGATGTACAAATGGCTTGGCAAGTTCAGCCAATCACATGTGTACTTGCCCCTTGCTCTATTCTCTATTACATTTAATTAGAAGGAATTGTTCAACTGGACCAAAGAGTTCTAGATTCCTCTTCACAAAACGGCATGAGCCCATTGTCATTAAATATACCTATATTGAGAAGTGTGTGTGTGTGTGTGTGTGAGAGAGAGAGAGAGAGAGAGAACTTGACCACAAAATCCAAATACTTTTAGTTCAGAGGTCAACATTTGTTTGTTTCAGATTATATAGCATTCAATTCAAGGTTCTAAATATCTGAGAATTTAAAATAAAAGGGGGGGAAAAGCACTGGTAAAACAGAACAGTACCTGAAAAAACAGATCAACAAAACTATTCCATCCTTCTAAGATGAGGCATAGTATGTGCGTAGTTGGGAGTGGCTGCTTTAGTACTTCTTGTACGTTGGGCTTCCTAATCGTTTTGACCATGGCAAAGGCATTTTAATTGTTATCGAACTTTGCAGGAACTGGCGAGATAATATCTCACTACTTTGAATAATTTTAAGTATTTGAGAACAGATATATTACCTCTTAGAGTACTAAAGAAACTGAAGATTGTGATTTCAGAATCACTTGCTACTTTGAGTATTTCTGGAGTTCATGGGAAATGCAACAAGAGCTAATGTTTTGATTTTTTACCTAAGAGACTAGTGACTAGTCAGCTTAACATCACTATCTGAGAAAAATCCTAGAAAAATAATAATCAAGAATTGAGTGTACAAGTCCTTGAAAAGGAACAAAATTACCAGAAGCTAGCATGGCTTTGTTAAAAATAGGCATTGCAAGATAAATCTACTTTTGGTGAGACTGTGACCAAATTAATAGACCAGGAGCATATACAGTACATGTACACTCAGATTTCAATAAGCCACTTATAAAATTGATCATAGCCTCCTTAATAAAGTGATATATTTAGTTTTAGTTTTATCACTATCAGATGGATTCTCAGCAGGTTCAGCAATCATACCTGAAATGTACATCTAACATATATGTCTACCTCTGGGAAGACAATGGAGTAATTTAGGATTTTGTCTGCTTAGATCCAATATTTTGATAAATGACATATATGGGGATAAAATGGATGACACAAAGCGGGGGGGGGGAGGTTGCTAAGAAAAAAGGAAAAAAGATTCAGCAATCAAAATGATATAAACTTGAACGATGAGCTCTATTCAATAATGATGTTTGAGAAATGAAGATGATGCACCTAGATAAGGGGCAAAAAAGTAGATACTGAGGTACAGAGTGATGACAGATGGCTTAACAATAGTTTAGGTGAGAAGGAGTACTTTGGTAGACCACAGTGGAAGCATGAAGCACCAGTGTGCTGCAGCTGCCAAAAGAACAAATGCAATCTTGGGCTGCATTAACAAAGGTATAGTGTGACATCACTGGAAATATTTCTGCTATTCTCTGAATTTATCAAACTGTCCATGGAACACTGTCCAGTACTAGTTGCTACAATGCAACAAGGATACTGACCAGCTGGAAAGAGAAGAGAAGAACAATAAAGGTAATGAGGGGCTATAAAAAAAACAGCAGAGTAAGAGGAGGCATGAGACCTCTCTTTAAACACTTAAAAGGCTGTCAGAGGGTAGTAGATTTTTTCCCAGAATAGAAAGATAGGGCAAGAATTGGTGGAAGCTTTAAAGAGGGAAAATCAAATTTGAAATAAGGGGAGATTTACTAATCCTGAGAGCTATTTAAGGATAGAACATCCTGTCACTTTTAACTGTGTACTCCGTTGTGAATTGAAACCAAGGTTGAATGTCCGCAATGATATGACGATGTCTTCCTAGGACGGGATGGGACTAGAAGAGCTCCAAGGTTCTTTCCAACCCTATGATTCTGTAATTCAGTTATCTTCATTTATAGTGGGGACATCTTTGACTAATAACATATTTCATACATGGACCAGCCTATTAATAAAACTTAAGAAGCTACTTGATGCAGGACACCACTCATACCATCTCTATCCCATGGCTATCCAATCTTAAAAATAGCTACTGCAAAAGATTTCCTGCACCTTCCCCTATGGTTAAGTCCATCCCACAACCAAATACTTGCTCCTATCCTAAAATTTAT